GAATCATACCCTGGGCATGTCTACATTTGTGTACTTGATACTTGACAGCATTGAATCATACCCTGGGCATGTCTACATTTGTGTACTTAATACTTGACAGCATTGAATCATACCCTGGGCATGTCTACATTTGTGTACTTGATACTTGACAGCACTGAATCATACCCTGGGCATGTCTACATTTGTGTACTTGATACTTGACAGCACTGAATCATACCCTGGGCATGTCTACATTTGTGTACTTGATACTTGACAGCACTGAATCATACCCTGGGCATGTCTACATTTGTGTACTTGATACTTGACAGCACTGAATCATACCCTGGGCATGTCTACATTTGTGTACTTAATACTTGCCAGCATTGAATCATACCCTGGGCATGTCTACATTTGTGTACTTGATACTTGCCAGCATTGAATCATACCCTGGGCATGTCTACAATTGTGTACTTAATACTTGACAGCACTGAATCATACCCTGGGCATGTCTACATTTGTGTACTTAATACTTGCCAGCATTGAATCATACCCTGGGCATGTCTACATTTGTGTACTTGATACTTGCCAGCATTGAATCATACCCTGGGCATGTCTACATTTGTGCACTTAATACTTGACAGCACTGAATCATACCCTGGGCATGTCTACATTTGTGTACTTAATACTTGACAGCATTGAATCATACCCTGGGCATGTCTACATTTGTGTGCTTGATACTTGACAGCACTGAATCATACCCTGGGCATGTCTACATTTGTGTGCTTCAGAACATAAATTATGAAGATGCAGAGACACCTAATGGTACTACAGTTTTAACGTATACCATTGAAGATGAAAAACACCTAAAGACTGGAGCACAAGTTGAATGCATTCTAAACCACATTGCTGAGAAAATGTGTAAAAGGCAAAAATGATTAAAATAGATAAATGTCTGGAGAACCGCTAGTATCGACAGTTATAAGATGACAGGAGCTGAAATCATAGAACAAACCTGTGAATACAGAGCAGGCAGACAGGATACTGAGCGTGTGCTGCAGGATTGGCTTAACTACTGCCAGGTGAGCATGTGCTGCAGAATTGGCTTAACTACTGTCAGCTGATCATTTGGTGCAGGATTGGCTTAACTACTGCCAGGTGAGCATGTGCTGCAGGATTGGCTTAACTACTGTCAGCTGATCATTTGGTGCAGGATTGGCTTAAATACTGCCAGGTGAGCATGTGCTGCAGGATTGGCTTAACTACTGTCAGCTGATCATTTGGTGCAGGATTGGTCTAACTACTGATCATTTGGTGCAGGATTGAGCATGTGCTGCAGGATTGGTCTAACTACTGCCACTACTGGTCAGCTGATCATTTGTGCTGACTGTCAGCTGTTTGTGTGCTGCAGGATTGGTCTAACTAACTGATACTGTCTAACATGAGCTGTGACTGAAAGATCCTAGTCTCAACTAGAATTAAGCTGCACAGAAGCAGCCACTTATTGGCTCTCTGGTGAATTCTCTTTATTTTGTGAGCTCTATAATCTGTTTAGCATAATTTGACAACATTTGTTACCTGGTCTTGTGCAGTTATGAGTTCTCTTAATTGTATAAATCTTTTACAGGCTCGTCGAGAAAAAGAAATCATGCGCCAGAATCGTATTCTAAGAGAGAAGCAGTACCAGGAGAGACGGGAGAAAGATTTTCAGGAAGCACTGGCTAGAGAAGCTGTAAGTTGACCCTTTGTGGAAAGTTTAAGGCAGCACTGGCTAGAGAAGCTGTAAGTTGACCCTTTGTGGAGAGTTTCAGGCAGCACTGGCTAGAGAAGCTGTAAGTTGACCCTTTGTGGAAAGTTTCAGGCAGCACTGGCTAGAGAAGCTGTAAGTTGACCCTTTGTGGAGAGTTTCAGGCAGCACTGGCTAGAGAAGCTGTAAGTTGACCCTTTGTGGAAAGTTTCAGGCAGCACTGGCTAGAGAAGCTGTAAGTTGACCCTTTGTGGAAAGTTTCAGGAAGCACTGGCTAGAGAAGCTGTAAGTTGACCCTTTGTGGAAAGTTTCAGGCAGCACTGGCTAGAGAAGCTGTAAGTTGACCCTTTGTGGAGAGTTTCAGGCACTATTAAAACACTGAGAGAGCTTTGGTGAAATGTCAAGAAAATAGTGATGAAATATTTAGAGAGCATTTGTGAAATATGTAGAGAGCAATGGTGAAAAACGGAGTGAGAGCAATGGTGAAATATGGAGAGAGCAGTGGTGAAATATTGAGAGAACAATGGTGAAATATGGAGAGAGCAATGGCAAAGTGGCGAAATATGGAGAGAGCAATGGTGAAACATGGGGAGAGCATTGGTGAAAAAGTGAAAAAGCATTATTGAAATATGGAAAGAGCATTGGTGAAATATACAATGAGAGAACAATGATGATATCTCCTCCCATAGATCACAGTTAGAATCAGCACGGAACACAAACTCTGCAGCACCACCAAGGGTCCAGATGTGTGTAGACCAGATTTTTCAGGGCTTAATATATTCCTTTATGAGGTCTTCTCATTTCAGTTTAGTCAGATGGAGGAGGATTTTAAACGGTCAAGTTTCAATGCGTCCCACTAGTTCGCCCCCATATTTTCCAAAATTATATTCAAAAAGACTAGATTTCCAATACGCTATCCCAGGATTAAGGGGTCATATTCTGAATTTTTAAAATAATGTTGTTGAAATTAAAAAAAAAAATAATAAGTAGCACAAAGAAAACAATTCACTGTGTATGAATGAGCATGTTTCCACTAGGACAGTCCCATTGTTAGGTGTGCCCTCTATCTGGTCAGTCCTCTAAAAGCAGCCCTGATTGACCTGTTTGATTAAACTCAAGAAGTGAGCTCGAGAACAAAACACGCACTTGAATCTGTAGATCTTATTGGATTTCATGGTTTTAGATACTTTGAATTCCTAAAATTTTATTTCTGGTTTAGTATGGAGGTATGGCAGAATGTTAAGCTTCAAAGTTATTTGTACTTCTGACACTTTGCTAATGCAGTTTCCACATGTAGATGGAAGTCTACAGTTTTGCTGCCTGGGCTACTGAATTTAGTGCTTGGTGCAGCACTAGGAGCTGTATTTTTCATGTTGAATGCCTTTTATTTGTGCAGTGATTGAGTTTTGGTATTCAGTATGGTCGGTAGCCAGTGAAATACCTTGTCTAATAATTTTATATGTGCATAGCCAACTTATTGGGACCGACTACTTCCACCACAGACAAACTGCATTTCTGGTGGCGACTGTTGACTTATGGTGTCCTTAGCAACTGCTGTATGCACTTACTGCTTGCGTATATTTCTGGATTGTGCTCAGACTAATTGTTTGTCAAATGTGACAGTGAGAGACATTTTATTTGATTTTCACTGGCACAGGAACAGAGCAAGTAGGGGATGACCCGATTATAGTGAAGTTGAAACCTCCACTAAGACTACGGTGAAGTATACCTTCCTTCTCCTCGTGTAAACATCCTGAGTCAGAGACAGAACTTGTTTCTCTGAGCCATGAATCAGTGTCTCTTGTTAAATTGAACATCTTACTACCGGAAGTTCATTCTTAGGCATGTGATTGCCTTGGATGTTTCAAATTTATCACATTTGTGTGTGAGTGCATGCGTGCATACGTGAGCGTGTGTGGGTGAGAGAGAGAGAGTCAACTACAGTCCAGGAGTCAACTACATGCCAGGAGTCAACTACATGCCAGGAGTCAGTGACATGCCAGGAGTCAGCTACATGCCAGGAGTCAGTGACATGCCAGGAGTCAACTACATGCCAGGAGTCAGCTACATGCCAGGAGTCAACTACATGCCAGGAGTCAACTACATGCCAGGAGTCAACTACATGCCAGGAGTCAACTACATGCCAGGAGTCAACTACATGCCAGGAGTCAGCTACATGCCAGGAGTCAACTACATGCCAGGAGTCAACTACATGCCAGGAGTCAACTACATGCCAGGAGTCAACTACATGCCAGGAGTCAACTACATGCCAGGAGTCAGCTACATGCTAGGAGTCAACTACATACCAGGAGTCAACTACATGCCAGGAGTCAACTACATGCCAGTAGTCAGTGACATGCCAGGAGTCAACTACATGCCAGGAGTCAGTGACATGCCAGGAGTCAACTACATGCCAGGAGTCAGTGACATGCCAGGAGTCAGTGACATGCCAGGAGTCAACTACATGCCATGAGTCAGTGACATGCCAGGAGTCAACTACATGCCAGGAGTCAGTGACATGCCAGGAGTCAACTACATGCCAGGATTCAGTGACATGCCAGGAGTCAGTGACATGCCAGGAGTCAACTACATGCCAGGAGTCAGTGACATGCCAGGAGTCAGCTACATGCCAGGAGTCAGTGACATGCCAGGAGTAAGTGACATGCGAGGAGTCAGCTACATGCCAGAAGTCAGTGACATGCCAGGAGTCAGTGACATGCCAGGAGTCAGTGACATGCCAGGAGCCAGTGACATGCCAGGAGTCAGTGACATGCCAGGAGTCAGTGACATGCCAGGAGTCAGTGACATGCCAGGAGTCAGTGACATGCCAGGGGTCAGTGACATGCCAGGAGTCAGCTACATGCCAGGAGTCAGTGACATGCCAGGAGTCAGCTACATCATTATAAGCTGACTGTACCTAAAGTATTGCACCTGATGAGATAAGGCAAAATATGCCAGGCAGGAAATTGTGCATTATATTTTCTTCTTTCTTTTGTCAAAATCTGCTTGTGCCGCTAGGCGTCGCAGTCTATTTTCAATATTGTTTAAATATATAGTGGGAAAATTTTAGGCAGGAAAATGGATATTCTACTCATTCAGGATAACCTGATGACAGGGAAAGGAAACCTTGACCTAAATGAGAACCTATCACCTGACGCACAATGACTGATGCAGCTAATTCAACCCCTCTGTCAGCAACCTTACCTGGCTAGTTTACTGGATATTTTGTAACCCAACTTTGGTCTGTCTGCTTTCACATAGTCTCTATGAAATACAGGCAATCGCGGCTCAGCACAAGCTAGAGTACGCTGAACAAATCAAGGCTGACCAAGAGCTACATGATCAGATTGCTGCCCAACGGGCAGAGCTGCGCTACCGTCGACATTATGACATCTGTGCTGGCATTGTCAATGACATTTTGGATTTCAGCAGCATAGTGGTGGAATACAGAGAGCTCACTAACAAGTGAGTTTGGAGTTTTTGTGGGCTCTGTTTTATTGTTATGTATCTGTTAAAAGGTAATCACTGTCATCATTCTACATCATAACCATTATCATCAATTTTCAATTTTGCTTTTTGTGATCCATTGCTTGATGGGTGGCAATGCCTTTTGTGATCCATTGCTTGACGGGTGGCAATGCCTTTTGTGATCCATTGCTTGATGGGTGGCAATGCCTTTTGTGATCCATTGCTTGACGGGTGGCAATGCCTTTTGTGATCCATTGCTTGACGGGTGGCAATGCCTTTTGTGATCCATTGCTTGACGGGTGGCAATGCCTTTTGTCATTCTGTGTGGATGTAGGCACTCTTTTATGTCTTTGATCCATTATTTCCTAGGGTGGCCTCTTGCTTTCACATCACATCTTTTCATGTGTAGTTCATGTTGGTAGTTGTTGTGGCAACGTTCTGATGAGATGATCAAAGTATTTTATCTTCTGTTTCTCAATGAATTTAGTGCATGGTGTTGTCCCAGAGACTCTCTGATAGTTTCATTTCTCACGTTGTCTCACATGGTTGTTATCAGCTTTTCTCAGGCATCTCAGTTCACAGGTGTTTTTTTTACCTAGGTGAGCCTTTTATAATGTCCACGTTTGGCACTGGTAGCACAGTGCTGATATGAATATGTTGTTTATAATCAGTTTTACGACAGTCATTCCTGTGTTTTGATGTCCTAATAATGGCGTCAGTTGGTAAATAAGTGCACTGGCTGATTGGCATTTTGGTTATTTTTCTCGATCTATTCTTCCATCCTCCAAGGAGGTATTGCCTAGATTTTTAAATTCTTTAGTCTGGTTCGAACAAATACCAGTGAGCCCTATGTGTAGTAGACTAAGAATTCTACTGACCTGCGTGTTATTGTGATAGTGTTATTGTTATCATATATGTGTTTCCTTGACAAGTATCATTGAGACAGAGCAGGGATCACAGATGTGTTTCCTTGACAAGTATCATTGAGACAGAGCAGGGATCACAGATGTGTATTTCCTTGACAAGTATCTTTGAGACAGAGCAGGGATCACAGATGTGTTTCCTTGACAAGTATCATTGAGACAGAGCAGGGATCACATATGTGTGTTTCCTTGACAAGTATCATTGAGACAGAGCAGGGATCACATATGTGTGTTTCCTTGACAAGTATCATTGAGACAGAGCAGGGATCACAGATGTGTTTCCTTGACAAGTATCATTGAGACAGAGCAGGGATCACATGTGTGTTTCCTTGACAAGTATCATTGAGACAGAGCAGGGATCACATGTGTGTTTCCTTGACAAGTATCATTGAGACATAGCAGGGATCACAGATGTGTTTCCTTGACAAGTATCATTGAGACAGAGCAGGGATCACATATGTGTGTTTCCTTGACAAGTATCATTGAGACAGAGCAGGGATCACATATGTGTGTTTCCTTGACAAGTATCATTGAGACAGAGCAGGGATCACAGATGTGTTTCCTTGACAAGTATCATTGAGACAGAGCAGGGATCACATGTGTGTTTCCTTGACAAGTATCATTGAGACAGAGCAGGGATCACATGTGTGTTTCCTTGACAAGTATCATTGAGACAGAGCAGGGATCACAGATGTGTTTCCTTGACAAGTATCATTGAGACAGAGCAGGGATCACATGTGTGTTTCCTTGACAAGTATCATTGAGACAGAGCAGGGATCACAGATGTGTTTCCTTGACAAGTATCATTGAGACAGAGCAGGGATCACATGTGTGTTTCCTTGACAAGTATCATTGAGACAGAGCAGGGATCACAGATGTGTTTCCTTGACAAGTATCATTGAGACAGAGCAGGGATCACAGATGTGTTTCCTTGACAAGTATCATTGAGACAGAGCAGGGATCACATGTGTGTTTCCTTGACAAGTATCATTGAGACAGAGCAGGGATCACAGATGTGTTTCCTTGACAAGTATCATTGAGACAGAGCAGGGATCACAGATGTGTTTCCTTGACAAGTATCATTGAGACAGAGCAGGGATCACATGTGTGTTTCCTTGACAAGTATCATTGAGACAGAGCAGGGATCACAGATGTGTTTCCTTGACAAGTATCATTGAGACAGAGCAGGGATCACAGATGTGTTTCCTTGACAAGTATCATTGAGACAGAGCAGGGATCTACACAAATTATCACAGGGAGCTGTTCTAATGAAGGGGCACAAATAATTTACAGAATGGAATAGTAAAGGAGATATAATTTTTTTTTAAACATGGAGCTGTTATAAGGAGAAAGAATGAATGAAAGAATGAATGAATAAATGAATGAATGAATCAATCAAGAATTGACTTCACTACACTCATGACACTCCCACACATACTCCATCCCCTTCTTCAGAAACCAACACAAATTTGACAGACTAATAAAAGTCAGACCCCCCTTCCCCCCTTGATCCCATAGAGCCTTCATCACATCCGCTTTGACTCTCCCAAATAGAGCAAATCAAGGCAAAACTGTTGGCCAAGAGAAACACTGGTGCAGGCCAAACTTTACGGGTCAGTTAGTGAGTTACAAATGTCAGTGAAGTTCATACTAGAGTCAACACTGCAGATGTAGAAAATCTATTTCAAGTCAATGAAAGAAGAAGAAGAAAATCCGCATTATCGTATAGCAGCTCACCACCCAGAGGAATGGCAGCAGCTAATCTATCAGCCTGCTTGTTACACACCTGATTGTCCTGGACAGGCAGCAGCTAATCTATCAGCCTGCTCGTTACCTCACACACCTGATTGTCCTGGACAGGCAGCAGCTAATCTATCAGCCTGCTTGTTACACACCTGATTGTCCTGGACAGGCAGCAGCTAATCTATCAGCCTGCTGGTTACCTCACACACCTGATTGTCCTGGACAGGCAGCAGCTAATCTATCAGCCTGCTCGTTACCTCACACACCTGATTGTCCTGGACAGGCAGCAGCTAATCTATCAGCCTGCTCGTTACCTCACACACCTGATTGTCCTGGACAGGCAGCAGCTAATCTATCAGCCTGCTCGTTACCTCACACACCTGATTGTCCTGGACAGGCAGCAGCTAATCTATCAGCCTGCTCGTTACCTCACACACCTGATTGTCCTGGACAGGCAGCAGCTAATCTATCAGCCTGCTTGTTACCTCACACACCTGATTGTCCTGGACAGAAAATCCATGATATGTTCTTGATCTGGATCTTATTCTTGTTGATTCATTGTTCTCAGTCTAACTTTAGCATCTTAGCCTAACTTTAGCATCTTAGCCTAACTTTAGCATCTTAGCCTAACTTTAGCATCTTAGCCTAACTTTAGCATCTTAGCCTAACTTTAGCATCTTAGCCTAACTTTAGCATCTTAGCCTAACTTTAGCATCTTAGCCTAACTTTAGCATCTTAGCCTAACTTTAGTATCTTAGCCTAACTTTAATGACTCATTGTTCTCTGCCTAAGTTTAGAATCCTAGCTTAACTTTAATGACTTATTGTTTTCTGCCTAAGTTTAGAATCCTAGCTTAACTTTAGTGACTCTTCGTTCTGCCTATTGTAGTGATACATTATTCGCAGTCTAACCTTATCATCATTCTCAGCCTTGTGCCTGCCAAACTGATGAGGGAATGGAAGCTTCTCTTTGTTCAAGGGCAGCCACTCTATGAGAAAATAGACTTTGATGATAATGAGTTCTTTTCAGAACTAATTCTGGAGGCCGAGAGACACGACCTGTTGGATGATGCAGACTTGCTGGAGTACAGGGTATGTCAGCATTATCCTTGCTTTCATTATCTTATTCTGTGCGTTCTGTTTGTTAACTTTTTGTAATACTAGACAATGTTACTCTACGTTGTTCTATCTGAAAGATTTGATGTCACTTTAAACAACTGAGGAATGTGTCACAGGCATTTCAGAAATTAACTTTACTGAACAGAATCTCTTACTGAAACAACCAGGATAGAGTGGGTTAATCTAACAATTTTGTAAGACCCAAGTTTCTTAAAAACACTGTATCATTCTCTGTGTAACTTTACTGACTCATTGCTCTCTGCCTAATTGTAGCAACTCATCTGAGCATTATTTTAGTGACTCAATTCATCTTTGTAGCAACTCATCATTCTTGGTGTAACTCTAGTGACTCATTATTCTCTGCCTAACTATAGAATCTCACCCACAAATAAACATATATTACTGATATTGGCAGAATTCTAAAGATATACAAACTATAGAAAAAATTTTTACGGTATGTGTAATTACTAAATATTTTGTTACTTTCATAGAGTATGACAGGAGAGTGGCTTCCCCCTGAGAGCTGTGAGGTCAAAGGGCCACCAAGAGATAATCCAGTGGTCAGCCATGTAATACAGAGACTGTTCAGCATTGCACATCCTCCGACTGTATGTATAAAACACTTCTGTTTGTCTGTTTGTCTGGTTATTTGTTTCAAACAGCGATGTCTTTAGCCCTGTCACCCCAAAAAGGTTTAATCCCATCACTTCTGCTTGTGACACAGATATATCACTGTTTCTAAAGCGACCTGTTCTTGAAAAGCATTGTTAACTCTTTGAGTCCCAAGAAACGCATCATACGTTCATGGCTTCCTACCTAGAAGCCCAATGAACGCATTATGCGCCGATTTTATGACTTTATTTACTATCCCCTGGTCCTGTGATGCTAAACTCCCTGGGACTCAAAGAGTTAAATATTGATTCTCTGTGCAACTGCGTCTTGTTCAGATGACCTGCATGTGAATATATCATTTAAATATAGCATTTTGAGGCATTTCCTTGTAAATCTAGTGGCCTTTTTAACCCTTTCGCTGTGGGCCCTCTGCCAGCCAACGTAACCACTGTGCTAAGCCAGGCGAGAGCTAATCTTTCCCCCTGTGCTGAATACCGTTTTTTCCTTCAAAAGCAGAAGACGCGCTTGCGGCACGGGGTAAAAATTGTAAACCTAAAATAAAAAATCGTTGAAGGCGTGTGGTTGTACTTTGCGCTGACAAGTCAGACACGCTATTAGTACGCCATGAAAATAAATTAACAAAAAGAAAACACTACAAACTTACAAAGCAAACACAAAACACTTTAGTAAGCAAATACATGGTTTTTATTATTATTAATAATATCTTTTTGTGTGAAATATTTCAAAACAAGGTGCGACACACAATGCCAAATCACATTCCTTGCACATGTCTCTGGTTTCCCGTCGTTTTTTGCTTTTTGCGCATACCACACACTTTCTTGTTGGGAAATTTTCCTGCGATGTTACGGACTCTATTATTGAAGGTAAATGCCTTTGTACTAAACGAAGTGGCAGATCTTCACTTTTTTTTTGTCCTCCTACACTTTTTCTCTTTTCCTTGCAATATTCCTGTAGAATTTCTCTTACTAACATTAAGTGAAATTCGGCAACAGGTGTGTTTTTCCCCACAACAACTTTATATAATGAATGTGCACAGTACACCAACCACGCTGCACAAAGGAACAGGCTAACGTGTAAAGCATCTAAATCCACCTGAACGCACGTAACAGGATGTTTAATTAATTATTACTTCGGTGATCTGTTGCCAAAAATGCTAAGAGCTTAAATTTAAAATTTGCATTAAAATAATTAATTAAAAAAAACAAAAAAACGGCACGTAGGGGTTGAACGCTGGACCTTTCGATTGTAAAGCAGACATGATACCAACTACACTAGAAATTCACATGAAACTATGAACTGAAAAAAAAAAAGACCAGTATTGTACACTTTAATAGACAAACACATTTATGTCAGTTGTATAGTATATTATTAACATTAATATTAATCATCATGTCAGTACGTGACCATATCTTTTTTTTGATTATTTTGGATCCGTTTCAAATCCAGTCGATGTAGATAGCTAGGTCATATGGTCACTGGTCAGTCTTGTTCACAGCCAGAAGTACACGTGTCCGCCGGCGTGCCGCGAAGATAACCCAGCTCATATAACTCACACGTTTCAAAGTGATCCTTACTACTACTCATTGAAAGAAACTCCATTAATTCTTCTTTATTTAAACAAATGTTCTTGTTATTTTGTATTTAAAAAAAAAATTACCGTTCACCGACAATACTTCTATGGTAACAAAGCAATAGGATAACGTGAAATGCATCTAAATACGCCTAAACTCATGTGATAAGGGTTTAATTGTATGTAAACGGGTCAGTTTGATCAGATTAAGGTAATGTGTATTGCTATTTCACCCCTAAGAATTACTGTTCTTAGCAATCTGTAAAAAAAATGTTGAGGACGAGTTATCTCGTCCTTAGCAGTGAGGGCACAGAAAATGGCAGCCGAGTTATCTCGTCTTTAGCAGCCTGCCGGGCAGACGAGTTATCTCGTCCATAGCAGCGAAAGGGTTAAAGCCAGATTGACTGAACATTTTTTAAAGCCCTATTGACTGAACATTTTTTTAACCAGATTGACTGAGCATTTTTTAAAGCCAGATTGACTGAGCATTTTTTTATATCCAGATTGACTGAACATTTTTTTAAACCAAATTGACTGAGCATTTTTTAAAGCCAGATTGACTGAGAATTTTTTTATATCCAGATTGACTGAGCATTTCTTAAAACCAGATTGACTGAGCATTTTTTTAAAGCCAGATTGACTGAGCATTTTTTTCAAGGGACCAAAGTATTTAAACTTTCTGTGTTTTATCATATTTAATTCCCAGCCTTCTTCAGTATTCAGCTCTTGAAGTATGGATGTATTTGTTCTTTTCTTTACCCATATTTTTAGATACCGTCTATAACATTTTTATTAAAGGCCTTTGTGTGCTGTTCAGCTTGTTTAGTAAGTGTCCAGGTCTCACAGGCGTATGTTGCATGGGAAAGATCTATGCTCTTATAAATCTAATTTTTGTAGTTCTGTCTGTCCCACTCCATAATTTAAAAAGTTGATTTAGTCTCTGAAGAGCAGTAGATTGTCGTTTTTTAATTTCTTTCATTGTGTCACCATTGTTTGTAATCAATGACCCAAGATATTCAAAATTTTCTACAACCTCCAATCTTTCCTCATTAACCATATATTTCTGTCTCCATAGTAGTTTTATCTCTAAGCATTATTTTTGTTTTTGCTATGCTAAGATGTCAGTTGTGATTTTCACTATTTCTTTGGTTTGAGGTTATGAAGTTTTCTATACCAGTCTGTGTGTGTATAGCAGTACTGTCTCATAGGCATATGGGATCTCTGGTATTTCATGACCACCCATATTTAGGGCATCTGATTGCTACCTGAGTGTATCATTTCTGACATTTCTCATTCTATTTTCAGTGTACAGGTTAAACAAATAGAGTGCCAGCAGAGAGCCCCGATGGAATCCTTGCTTGATTTCAAACTAATCTGATGTCTCACCATCTATTCTAACCGCTGCTTGTTGGTCTCGATAGAGCATTGTTATGAGATGTACTACCTGTGAAGGAAAACCCAGAATCCTCAGGATTTCGCAAAGTTTCTGATGTCGTACAAGTCAAATGCTTTTGAATAATCCACAATACATGAGAATCGGTTTACATTATATTTTTTTGAATAGTCTAACTAGCTTCATATTAGAAGTTTGAGGCCTCTAGTCTGTACAAGATTTCTTTGATTGTGCACAGATTCCTCCTTATGTGATTTTTGGTACTGACTTTATAATAGAAGTCTGAGGTCTCTAGTTTGTATTGTGTCTCTTTGATTGTACACAGATTCCTCCATGAGTGATTTAATCTCTTCACAAAGACCGTACAGATAGAACACAGTGCATTAACTCTGTGACATCAACAAGTATCCCAGTGTGCGAATGCTAAAATTACACATTAAACATTTTGTTGTAGTTTTTCTTAAGTTTTGTCAGGACACTCAAACAAGCTACTTTATATCAATGCAAACAGAATAGGAATGTTTAAATATGCATATTGTGTGTACATACTTTGTAAAGTCTGATAAACCCTATGTATGAAAAAGCTGGGTATCTGACCCACTAGCCAGACATTTGATGGACAGAGTGTAAAAGCACTGGATTATTTATAGGTCAAAATTGTCTGCAGCCGTTGTCATGTTAGAAGAAAACACTGAAAATTGAAGCCATCCAGCCTCCACTAGACATTCGAATCAAGCTGAAGGATAATATCTTGGACATTTTGACAATAATATGGCAATAATCTGCATGCTGAATGCAGCAAAGTTATTAGACGGTTAGACATTTGTGGGTCTCTTTCTGCTTACAAAGAATGAAACAGCTGTTGTTTTATGTGTGATAATTATTGTATGAATATGTAAATATTTACAATTCTTCGCCACTAGCCACCCCCTGCTGCACCAGAGTTCCCAGCATTTCCTGTCCGTGCTTGTGTACTTGGTAAAGCTTTCAGTGGCAAAAGTACCTGTCTCAAACGATTGGCTGAGGGTATGTCTTGTAGTGGTTGATTTTGATTGGCTGAGGGTATGTCTTGTAGTGGTTGATTTTGATTGGCTGAGGGTGTGTCTTGTAGTGGTTGATTTTGATTGGCTGAGGGTATGTCTTGTAGTGGTTGATTTTGATTGGTAAAAAGTATGTCTTGTAGTTCTTGTGTCAGTTGGCTGAGGGTATGTCTTGTAGTGGTTGATTTTGATTGGCTGAGGGTATGTCTTGTAGTGGTTGATTTTGATTGGCTGAGGGTGTGTCTTGTAGTGGTTGATTTTGATTGGTAGAAAGTATGTCTTGTAGTTCTTGTGTCAGTTGGCTGAGGGTGTGTCTTGTAGTTCTTGTGTCAGTTGGCTGAGGGTGTGTCTTGTAGTTCTTGTGTCAGTAGGCTCAGGGTGTATGTTTCAGTTACTGACATCAGGTTATGTCTGCTGGTTACAATTAGTTCTGAAATTTATCAAAACTACATCTCGTCATCATCATTAATAATTTCCATTTCCGCCGTTAAGCGCTATGGGGAGGAACAGTTTGCAATCCATTGCTTGATTGGCAGCAATGGCTATTGTCATTCTTTTTAAACGTATAAGTTCTTTAATGTCATCAATCCATATTCTCCTAGGATGGCCTCTTGTTTTCACTTCAGATCTTTTCACCTGTTCGCTGCATTGGTAGCTGTTCTGGCTGCATTCCTACTAAATGACCAAATCATTTGATCTTCTGTTTCTCCATGAATGTGCTGCATGCTGTTGTTCCTAGAGTGTCTGATAATATCATTTCTAATGTTGTCTTGGATGGTTAAGTTGGCAGCTTTTCTCAAGCAACTCATCTCACAAGTTTTATTTTTTTTAGGTTAGCCTTTGATAATGTCCAAGAAGTCTGGCACTGGTAGCACAGTGCTGGTATGAATATGCAGTTTAAATCTGTTCCTTGTTGCTCATACTTATGTTTGGATGTAATAATAACTGTGTCAGTTGCTATATAAGTGCACCGGCTCATTAGCATCTTGTTTCTTTTTCCCAACCTATTCCTCCATCCTCCAAGAATAAACTTCCTAGATATTTAAATTCTTTAACTTGGTTCAGACGAGTACCATTTAACCCAATATGTAGCAGACTAGCAATTATGCGGACCTGCATTGCTTCAGTTTTAGTCGTACGAGGGAAAGTCTAGAGGTCAGTTACAAATGGTTATGGGATAGCAGGAAAATGTGTTTGGTGGTTTTTAAAGGTGTCACTAGGTGAAAGCAACATCTACTTTATGTCTCCGTTCATTAGGTGGCATTAGGCGTTGCATGCGCATTACAACACAGAAACAAAATGATGACTGTATTTACGGAGTGTATCCTCAAAGAACAACGTGCTGTTGTGCATTTTTTTAAGGGGGGAGGGGGATTTTCAAGTTGTTAACCTCTTTACTTTTTTTTTTTTTTAACAATAATATGTGACTTACTTATTGACTTCCCTTGTATTTATTTTCATATCTTCTGCATGTTGAATTTAGTTTTGCATGTTACGAGTTTACTCATCGTAACCATAAGTGAAAGGCAAAATGTTTGCAACTTATCCACAGAAGAGAGAAATACAGGGGTTCGCTGGGAAACATAATGATATGAAATCACCAGCTTTCTGGACATATCACGTAAAAGAGAAGGTTGGAGAGTTCTGACCACCAGTGACCAGGCACCTGCAGCAACAAATGTCTATTGTTGGAATCCTAGTTATTAGCCTTATGTACACAATTTAAGTATTCTTATGTCATTGCTGCATAAACGGTTTTTATATCTCAGTCTTCACATCTCGATAAACTTCTCCATCAGAGCACAATGTATGCATCCTCGACCCGGAGATTCTGGTTCAGGAAGCAGTTGAGGCATTTAAGAGTGGTGAATTAGAAGTAGCAGATCAGGTACTGTCATGTTTACTGTCATGCTTACTGTCATGTTGTCATGTTTGCTGTCATGTTTGCTGTCATGTTGTCATGTTTGCTGTCATGTTTGCTGTCATGTTTACTGTCATGTTTACTGTCATGTTGTCATGTTTACTGTCATGTATACTGTCATGTTTACTGTCATATATACTGTCATGTTTACTGTCATGCTTACTGTCATGTTGTCATGTTTGCTGTCATGTTTGCTGTCATGTTTACTGTCATGTTTACTGTCATGTTTACTGTCATGTTGTCATGTTTACTGTCATGTATACTGTCATGTTTACTGTCATGTTGTCATGTTTACTGTCATATTTGTCATGATTTCTTGATTATGTATCCAGTGTTGCAGTAGATACAAATATTTTTTACACAATAGAAATCTCTTTTTGTTTTGTTTTTGTAATCATAATTAGTTATCTCAGAATTTTTTATATCATATTATTTCTTTTCGTTCTTTAAAATATATTTATATTTATCATGATTGTACCAATCATCACACAGTTGGAACTTGTGATTGTGAAACCTGGACACATAGAGATGGGTGGACATGGGATGAGTTGCATGTGATAGCAGAAGATAGGACCACTTATCATAACTTGATTGAGGGCCTATGCTCCCTTTGGAAATAAAGGGCAAAAGAGAGAGAGAGAGAAAGAGAGAGAGAGAGAAAGAGAGAGAGAGAGAGAGAGAGAGAGCTGGCACAGTAACAACTGATACATGCTTTTTGAAATTGCAATATGTGTGACATCCTGATTGTTCACACCTTTTGTCAAGGTATGATGACGGTGACAAACTGTTATCCTCTTGAACTCATTATCATCATCATTATGTGCTATACCAATAAGTGTAGACTGTCACATCTAACATGATCACCAGGATCACAGAACAGGTCAGTGCTCTTGCGTTGCCCCACACATATGGCCAAGCCATTCAGGTATTATGTTTTTTGCTTCCCCTTGTTGATTTCCCCCACCAATCTTGCCAGTTATAACCAAGTTCTCAAGTCTATTCCTGTTTAAAATGTGTCCAGAAACACCTGAAGTGGCGCTTGATGTATCGGGAGTCAATTACTGTTAGCCACGGCTTGTCCTGTTTACAACAGAGAACAAAGATGCTGGCCACTTGACACTGGCTTCAAGTTGGGGAAATGATATTACAGTTGGCAAAACATTTGCTCATACACTTTCATCAGCTAACCGTTTTTCTTTCTGCTTTTTTCTCCATTGAAAAGGAAGTTCAAGTAGATTTTAGTGAGCACCTTGATGATGTTGCATCTGTAGAACATAGGACTTCCAAGGATGAGCCGGGTCACTCTAGTGAAATAGAGAAGAGTACAGAAAGTGGTTAGTGCTTGTTGTACCTGGGTGTCTCTGGCTTATTTGTGTAGATGATGCCGTGTCTGTGTGTGGGCTGCTGTAAAAGTCTGTATAGTGTTGTATCTGTACAGTAAATACGACATTTCTCTATGCTATATAATATTTGTAGAGATTCACTAAACAGGCAATGAAATAAGAAACAAATTGACTAAGGAAGTGAGGGAGTTTAAGAGCAGAGTTGTTGAGAGAAGTCATAGATGCTGGATTCTATCAATGACATCCAACAGATCGCACAAGAGATAATGGAAGCAAGAAATCAGACAGATTGCACAAGAGATAGTGGAAGCAAGAAATCAAACAGATTGCAAAGAGATAATGGAAGCAAGAAATCAAACAGATTACATAAGAGATAGTGGAAGCAAGAAATCAAACAGATTGCACAAGAGATAGTGTAAGCAAGAAATCAAACAGATTGCACAAGAGATAATGGAAGCAAGAAATCAAACAGATTGCACAAGAGATAGTGAAAGCAAGAAATCAAACAGATTGGACAAGAGATAGTGGAAGCAAGAAATCAAACAGATTGCACAAGAGATAATGGCAGCAAGAAATCAAACAGATTGCACAAAAGATAATGGAAGCAAGAAATCAAACAGACTGCACAAGAGATAGTGGAAGCAAGAAATCAGACAGATTGCAGAAGAGATAGTGGAAGCAAGAAATCAGACAGATTGCACAAGAGATACGGAAGCAAGAAATCAGACAGATTGCACAAGAGATAATGGAAGCAAGAAATCAAACAGATTGCACAAGAGATAATGGAAGCAAGAAATCAAACAGATTTCACAAGAGATAATGGAAGCAAGAAATCAAACAGATTTCACAAGAGATAATGGAAGCAAGAAATCAAACAGATTTCACAAGAGATAATGGAAGCAAGAAATCAAACAGATTTCACAAGAGATAATGGAAGCAAGAAATCAAACAGATTTCACAAGAGATAATGGAAGCAAGAAATCAAACAGATTGCACAAGAGATAATGGAAGCAAGAAATCAAACAGATTTCACAAGAGATAATGGAAGCAAGAAATCAGACAGATTGCATAAAAGATAATGGAAGCAAGAAATCAAACAGACTGCACAAGAGATAGTGGAAGCAAGAAATCAGACAGATTGCAGAAGAGATAGTGGAAGCAAGAAATCAGACAGATTGCACAAGAGATAATGGAAGCAAGAAATCAAACAGATTTCACAAGAGATAATGGAAGCAAGAAATCAAACAGATTTCACAAGAGATAATGGAAGCAAGAAATCAAACAGATTTCACAAGAGATAATGGAAGCAAGAAATCAAACAGATTTCACAAGAGATAATGGAAGCAAGAAATCAAACAGATTGCACAAGAGATAATGGAAGCAAGAAATCAAACAGATTTCACAAGAGATAATGGAAGCAAGAAATCAGACAGATTGCATAAAAGATAATGGAAGCAATCAATCAGACAGATTGCACAAGACATAGTGGAAGCAAGAAATCAAACAGATTGCACAAGAGATAATAGAAGCAAGAAATCAGACAGATTGCACAAGAGATAATGGAAGCAAGAAATCAAACAGATTGCACACGAGATAATGGAAGCAAGAAATCAAACATATTGCACAAGAGATAATGGAAGCAAGAAATCAAACAGATTGCACAACAAATAATGGAAGCAAGAAATCAAACAGATTGCACAAGAGATAATGGAAGCAAGAAATCAAACAGATTGCACAAGAGAATGTGGAAGCAAGAAGTTGACTGTGAGCTTAATCTAGCGAGTGAATGGAAAAACAGGATGAGTTGATGATGGTGAAGGTTATTTCTCATTGACATGGCTGCAACTTATGTCCAGTGAATATGTTTTGATGATTCTCTAATCTGTCCCATCACTTGACCAGATGTGAGCACCGAGATGAAGAGCAGTCTACAGGTTGCAGCCGCTTCCATCGTCATCACAATTGAGTCGCCACATGACTCTCAGACATCCAGTGTGGGTCCACCCAACAAACATGTTCAACCTCAGGTACTGTCATCATCATTGATATCATCATCATCATTATTCATTCCTTGTCTTTGTGACGTTACGTCCAACTCCCCTGAGATTACAACACTTTCAGTGTGACGTCCCGGGTCGTGGGTTCCCTGGATTTGGGTTTAACTGAATTTTATATGTTGAGTAGGGAATTTTCCTCTCCACACATCCCCTCCACCAGGTTAACTGAACTAATATCCCGGCTATGTTGCTCTCAGACAAAGTTCTGGATATCCAAGAAAACAGCCATATTGGCTCATTATTTATATTAACTTTAGCTGAACTTGGTATCCACAAGAGAAGGAAATGGGTTTTAGATGTCTATATATTATTATTTTGAATGATTTACTAGACAGGGCAGTTGACCCAATTCGTCGAACTTGGTACAGAATTATTATTATTTAATGAGCCAAATGCTATTCTATCTTAACAGTTTAATTAAACATGTAAGAGCAGACACACTTGGAATTACAAAAACTGATGCAGATTAAGACCATATAATTAATTTATTAACCTAGCAATCATTTTGATTTATACTATTTTTAGTCAATAGTGATGGTAAGGTGGTAATGAGATGCTTCAGCTAACTGAGCACCTAAGATTAGAATAAAGTGATAATGGTGGTGTTTAGTTACAGAAATACAAGATACGTAACTTTTGTTGTTTTAGAAAAGTGGAGCTTCTGAGAGTCCTCGTGTTGAGTCCCTTCTTAGCTGTTCCCACTTTTCCGCCCAGTTCTCCTGGTCCTTCCACCTGGTTCCCTGGTTCCCACCTGTTTCCCAGCTGGCCGAGTTCTAGCACAATGTAGTCTCGTGACCGTGATGACCCTCTATTTCTGTTCTTAGAAAAGACTGATCCTCACCCACATGGGAGCTGTAATAACGGAAACAAACACATACGTGTAGTATCTTGACTTACACTAAGAATACATGTGTCAATTAATACAATATATAATAAAACATTATATCTCATCACTCCTCCTCATATTCCACATTCTCTCCAGTCTAATCTGAAGGTCTTTGTGTCTCACAATCGACGTCTCACATATCCTGCCTTCCCTCTAAGGTTCTGTCATGATAGTTGACTTTCTGTTGTCCGTCATCACTCAGACTTCCAACTTGCTGACATTGATTTGACATAAACATGTGGCGCAGGTTATGTGCTGAACACGCCAAACATTTTATACGAGCATGCTGTCCTGAATATTATCTTTCAGTGACAGTGAATAATATACACTCATGATTCTTCCCCTGGGGTTATAAATCCCCTGTTTAGGTGAACACATTAGGTGAGCACATGGCGGGCACACAAAATGTAACAGCATAGCTGCATATGTGGGCATCATTTCCCACAGTCCAAACTCATGTTTTGGTTGATGGTTGAAACATTATAATTTCATTACATTTCAGTATAAAAGTCTTATTTTATAAACATGAAAACATACACTGAAAAACATGTGCCACAAACATACAAGAAATAGAAATAGTTTAGCAGTTCCCTAACTGAGATACTGAATACTCACAAAGAACTATTTCAAGCAGAATGTGTAGACAAATTAGGAAAAGGTAGAATAGATTTTAGCTAACTCCCTAACCTATGTATACAAGATTTGAAAATAATTGTACATGCTTACCTGGAAACTTCCAGCAATCGCCAAACTAGAATCAAACCATTAGATTTACCTCTAAGGTCGACCTGTTTGTTGCTCGTGGCAGCGATTATGATGGGAATTCCAGGGCTTGTCTTATTAATACCTCTATCTGTCTGCAAGGTTAAACTCCACCCTCTACTAGGTTCTACCCAACCCTCAAGGAGATGACTCAAGCCCCGCCTCTGAGGTACCTATCAGATCAACCTAGCTATCAAGGGGCCTGTCACTCACAGTGAACGGCCTACAGTACGACCTTGACCAAGATTAGACATTCCTAATTGCCAAACACCTGTTCTCTTGAGAATTTCACTATCATGTGTGAAACTTCAGACGCTGGACGCCATCCTGTCTAGAAATGTCAATCAGACCACTAATTCCCCTGATTCAGTTTGATCAAACGGCCCCACTCAGTGTGTGTTATGTAATTTTTATGACACTACGGTCGGGTTCAGGGGAGCTAATCAGGTGTGATACTACGTTATCTCCCCCTTTACTTGCCTCTACAGACTGGGCAGGAGATAATAATATGACATGGGCAGGTGAAACTCTAGCTACAGTAGTATTAGGTAACATTACATAAAGCAAGGTTGCTTTGTCTGGCTAAGACGGGAAACACAGTTTAAACAATTCTCAAATCCCTTATAGTGGTTTTAGAACTATTTTAGGCTCAGTGTATATTGCTTATAATTCTTTGTCCTTCTCTGAACATAAGAAATTATTAAACACAATTTAACTTCTGAGACCACTGAGGTCATTTCGTCAGTCTTCTTCTCTGTAGTCAGTTTTAGCCGTTCAATGTTTGTCTTACAGTCATTGCTGACGATGTTCATTCTCTTGTGTGCACATCCCCTTTTCTTCTTCCTGGTCCACTATCAGACCCCATGGCAAGCATCCCCATCTCTGATTCTACTGATCCTTACTGTCACATTGATTCTTACTGTCACAATGATTCTTACTGTCACATTGATTCTTACTGTCACATTGATTCTTACTGTGACATTGATTCTTACTGTCACATTGATTCTTACTGTCACATTGATTCTTACTGTCACATTGATTCTTACTGTCACATTGATTCTTACTGTCATATTGATTCTTACTGTCACAATGATTCTTACTGTCACATTGATTCTTACTGTCACATTGATTCTTACTGTCACATTGATTCTTACTGTCACAATGATTCTTACTGTCACATTGATTCTTACTGTCACATTCAACAGAAGTGATCATCCATTTTTTAAACTTTTAATTCCTCTAATGACTGTCTGTCTCTCAGCATTGACACGACGTCACAGTATTGAAATAATCAGGGAGATTTTTAAAAGTTGCTGGTGAGTGCTGTGCTGCATCCTGGGCTGGTAACATTCCACAGATGGGAATATCCAGTACCCGCCTTGCATACCTGGGCTGGTTTCTTGAGACATGCAGACAAACAACACAGACATACAGAGATTTAGTCACTCACATGTACACACGAGCACATACAGTGATTGAGTCACTCACATGTACACACAGGCACATACAGAGATGGAGTCACTCACATGTACACACTGGCACATACAGACAGACACAGATATATAGAAGCAAACACACTTACTGTCACAGTTACAAAAGAGACACACACACACGCCCAAAGACAGAAACTGAGAACAGAAAGACACAGACATGTAGACAGAAAAACAGACAAATTTCCACATTGAGACATATGTAATGTGTCTACTCGACACTCAATCTCTCTCGTGCAGATTCAACACTGACTCTGTTGCCTAGGTGTTAGGTCACAGTTCATTCTAGCCAGACGGCACTTCTCTCCATGGCCACACAACTTTAAATGATGATCAACAACGGCTGACGCATTTCACAGGTTTATTGTCAATGTAACACAAGCGACACGAATCAACAGATGAACTAACTTATGCCATTCGGGCAATCTGGCCTTGCTCACGCATTGAGTCTCTAGCCATGCTTCAGACGATGGACACTGGCATGTACACGGCTGGCTCAACAAACATACAGTGAAACACAACAGCTGGCCTAAACGATCATTCAATAGCGCTGCCTGTCTTGTCGTTCAACACTAACATTCATTCAACTCTGATTCAGATCCACGTGTGCACTTCTCACTCTGGATTCAGCTTCACATCCTTGCAATCTGGGGCCCAGTCACCGAATGACCACCTCATTCTCAATCCCCCAGATCTCGCATTCACACGTGACTCACTCACTCTTGTCTTTTCACCATATCTCCGTGAAACCCATGCTATCAGGGACTTACCCAATTATGCCAGTCATACCCTGACGTTATCCCTATTTATAGCATTATTACAACATACATATTGAATTATATACTTTGAGACATTTACACGCACACATACACATGCATGTGAACACATATACATTCATGCACACACACACTCATGCATGCACGCACACACATACACACTCACACAACTTATACACACTCTCTCACACACACACACACACACACACACACATACTCACACAACCTATACACACTCTCACAACCTCAACACACACAACCTATACACACTCTCACAACCTATACACACTCACACACACTCTCACACACATACACACACACACACACGCAGAGTTGTCTTGACTGTCCAGATGAGGGTTAGTCAGAAAGGGATGTCATCTGTGAGATCTTCGACATGATGGATGAGTGAGCTATACATTACCACACTGATAAATGATAGTTTAACCAGAATGACTGACTTTTCATTTGCTGCAGCTGACGACCAGAGCTCAGCTTGGCTCAAAAGCAATGGCATGTTTAAAGAAGGGACTTCCTGTGGATGACCACATAGTGGTGGAAATTCTGGCCGAGGCAATCAGGTACAATGATAACATAAGTGTTATTGATGTATTGAAACAAAAGGTCATTGACACATTGTCTGGTTAGAGGCAGAATGGACAAATGTGGTGTCAGGGGTCATCCCTATAATGGGACAGTTTAGTGTGATGATGATAAAACACAGGCTGTGACTCCTAACTAAACTAAGGACATGTTTCAAACAGACAGAGAAATCTGTGTTAGCTGAATGAGGCTTGCTAAACCTCGGCGGACTTCACAACGTGTCCACTAGACAGTGAACCCTAGGAGTTCAACAGAACCTCTGTGCAAAACACAGATTGGGACTCTTGGCCGAAGACTTGTGTGATGTGGACGTTTTTTGACCCCACCGTTAGATTTTACTAGTTTATTGACAAGTTGTAATGGCCGGTAGAAATGTGGCGTGTGAGATGTTAGCTGTAATTCATGCAGTCTGGTGTTTGACTAAATGTGTTAAGTACTTTACAGTGTAGGTAGTAATTGATTCCTTTAGATCTCATTTAGCAGTTAGATTTAGGATAGCAGTTAGATTTAGGATAGCAGTTAGATTTAGGATAGCAGTTAGATTTAGGATAGCAGTTAGATTTAGGATAGCAGTTAGATTTAGGATAGCAGTTAGATTTAGGATAGCAGTTAGATTTAGGATAGCAGTTAGATTTAGGATAGCAGTTAGATTTAGGATAGCAGTTAGATTTAGGATAGCAGTTAGATTTAGGATAGCAGTTAGATTTAGGATAGCAGTTAGATTTAGGATAGCAGTTAGATTTAGGATAGCAGTTAGATTTAGGATAGCAGTTAGATTTAGGATAGCAGTTAGATTTTGTCAGTAATAATAACTCATTTTGGGAAAGAAGACCATGCATTTTTTGTGACGCACCTCCAGCCCACACTCGGCGTCTGCCATGGCGTCTTTGGCAACAAGAGACAGCGAGTTGAGTTAGCGCTGTACGGGAGTGTGGTAGGAGCTCAGAGCTTGTTTCATGAACGTAAAAAGGCGTGTCTAGCGATTTTAAAGTTAGAAGCGGCCTGGTTTCAGAATAAGGGGCACTACCCCTCCTGAGGCACAGACCTCAATGAGTTCGTATCCTTAGATAATAAAGATTGTGTGTGTTTTCAACCCGTATTTGGCTTGGGTGTGTTCATTAGCACTATTTATCTGTCATTGGCCTGCAGTGCAGCCATATAGATTCAAACCCTAGACATGTAGGTTCTTGACATGTGGCATGAGTGGATACCAAGCATCATTACAGGAACACATGGACTTACTGTCCAGGAGATACAGAAGTGCAAGGGAAGAAGGAAAGAGCGGATTTTCTGGCTACAAAAGGGATAGCTATGGGAACACTCGTACTGGATAAATGAGGCATTATGAAGCCCGTATATGAACTAATGCTGATAGAAAACACACGATTACACAAAATATCATGAGTAAGAGTGTGGAAACATGGAATTAGGTGTGGATCTAGTAAGCAAGGATGTATGAGAGGAAGAAAACAACATGTGAATGATCAGTGTGCAGCTATGGGAACAGTTAGCGTCTACACCTTAAGACATTTGCTGCGGGAGACGGATCACCTATGTGTATGCCTGGTGTGCTATAATTTTGATTCTTAAACCAGTAAAATGGGATATAGAAATTATAGAAAAAAAAATAGAGATAATATTGCTTTCTTTCCCCTTTTACTCTGTAATCTAGAGATACCAGATAGTATAGTTAAACCCATCCCTTCTACTCTAAAATGTAGATATACTAGATAGTATAGTTGAGTCTTTCCCCTTCTGCCTTGAAATATAGAGATACTAGATAGCATAGTTGAGTCTTTCCCCTTCTGCCATGAAATATAGAGATACTAGATAGTATAGTTGAGTTTTTCCCCTTCTGCCCTGAAATATAGAGATACTAGATAGTATAGTTGAGTCTTTCCCCTTCTGCCCTGAAATATAGAGATACTAGATAGTATAGTTGAGTCTTTCCCCTTCTGCCCTGAAATATAGAGATACTAGATAGTATAGTTGAGTCTTTCCCCTTCTGCCCTGAAATATAGAGATACTAGATAGTATAGTTGAGTTTTTTCCCTTCTGCCCTGAAATATAGAGATACTAGATAGTATAGTTGAGTCTTTTCCCTTCTGCCCTGAAATATAGAGATACTAGATAGTATAGTTGAGTCTTTCCCCTTCTGCCCTGAAATATAGAGATACTAGATAGTATAGTTGAGTCTTTCCCCTTCTGCCCTGAAATATAGAGATACTAGATAGTATAGTTGAGTCTTTCCCCTTCTGCCCTGAAATATAGAGATACTAGATAGTATAGTTAAGTCTTTCCCCTTCTGCCCTGAAATATAGAGATACTAGATGGTATAGTTAAGTCTTTCCCCTTCTACGCTGGGATGTAAAGATACCAGTTAGTATAGTTGAGTCTTCCCCCTTCTACCCTGGGATGTAGAGATACCAGATAGTATTGTTATGTCTTCTGTTTCTACTCTAGTATACAAGCATCAAGTAACACTGTTTTGCAGGCAAATCCCAGAAGGAACAGGCTGGATTCTGGACGGTTATCCTAGAAACTACAACCAAGCTAAGCTTCTAGAGAAAGCTCTCAGTGGCTGTGACTCCAGTGCTGTTGAAAAGAAACAGAAAGAGTTTCAGGAGATTCACAAGAACAGCCTAGTGCCCTACCCACAGGCCACCCAAGAACCATCGACGGCACGTAGTGGTATAGATGTGGTCATTCTCTTTGACATCAGAGATGAGCTGTGTTTGAAGAGAGCAGCCGGAAGATATGGTGAGCAGTCCACTTTGTGATGCCACATTTCTTTGTCTGCATTATTATCAAGTTAATTTCAAAGTTTTCTTTATTTAACACGCTAGCAGGAAGTATTGATAAACATCAAGTATATTGTAGAAAGTCAGCTCTGTGGCTAAGTCGATGCCAATGCTTTTTTAATGCCCGGATGCTGTGTTCAATCCCAACTGCATGCCATGTGCCTTGCGTTGGTTTTGACAGTGGTATCAAGAAAGCCGACTGTCCAGAGAGCAATGGCAAACTGTTGGACGTAAATTTTCCTAGAAAAACCACACAACAGCCAGGGGCTGTTGGGGTTGGTTCTGCAACGTCCTGTAAAGGATACGCAATAACCTATATTGTAGAAAACATCAGAAAACAGGCTAATTATCATCAGACTGCACATTATTTTCTGTAATCAAATGTGAAATTACTCAGCCAAGGATGTATTGTCAGTAGTGTCAGATAGAATGTTGTCTTTCATTGTATGAGAAGTTTGCTGACATGAGAGAAGTTTGCTGACATGAGAGAAGTTTGCTGACATGAGAGAAGTTTGCCAACATGAGAGAAGTTTGCTGACATGAGAGAAGTTTGCTGACATGAGAGAAGTTCCCTTGACTGAGAATGGGAAATCATGGTTTAGTGTGAGCTAAATCAACTGGGGATGGAATGAGATGAGATAGCATGGAATCAGGCTCTCAATCATGGTTCCAGCTTTATGGATGACGGGTCACCCCATGATTGCTCCTTTCCTGTGCCAGCAAAAGCAAAACAAAAAATACATATCACTGTTCCATATTGTAATCAGCCTATTTCCTGTACTGAATTTGACTTGACACAGCCAAACATTACACATCACCCAGTGACAGGCCCTTGTTTCTGAAATTACTGTTATCAGTTTAATCAACAAGCAGCAACCCTGAGTAAATGTGCCAGTGTGAGACACTAGCCTAGGATCTAATGCTGGGAATTTTTGCCTGGACTTATTTGTCCTCCATAAGTCTAGGACAACATTTTCATGACCTGGCTATGATTGAATGTCAACAACCCTTGCCTCTGGATTACTTAGACTTCTAGCCTAAGACCTCTTGCTGTTGAGTTTATGTAGATGATATTAATGTGGTCGAACACTGACAATATTATTCCTTCCTTTATTTGGGCTTGGATTCATTGTTGACTAGCCTCCATTTACAATGGGTCTGCTAATACTGAATCTCTGGGTCAGTCAGATTAGAGGAATCAGACACTTCCTTACTCTGTCCCTGTTAATGCTCTCAATATTAGCACAGTGACATTGGACTGGCATATTTCTGTGGACTGCTGTGGACTTCTTACTTGTACACTTGAAATTGCTCTGTTTCTTGCTGGCTTAGTTAGGTGTTGTTAGCCACCCTGTCTGTCACTTGCTGGCTCAGTTAGGTGTTGTTAGCCACCCTGTCTGCCACTTGCTGGCTCAGTTAGGTGTTGTAAGCCACCCTGTCTGTCACTTGCTGGCTCAGTTAGGTGTTGTAAGCCACCCTGTCTGCCACTTGCTGGCTCAGTTAGGTGTTGTTAGCTAGCCTGTCTCTTGCTGGCTCAGTTAGGTGTTGTTAGCTACCCTGTCACTTACTGGCTCAGATAGGTGTTGTTAGCTACCCTGTCACTTGCTGGCTCAGTTAGGTGCTGTTAGCTGCCCTGTCTCTTGCTGGCTCAGTTAGGTGTTGTTAGTTACCTTGTCAGTTGTTACTGTCTCATCACGTGGCATCAGTTTGGCTGGTTTTGTCAGGCGATTAGTCATGCTTCAATGTTCAACATTATCCCCGGAGAAACAGCTGAAAACATGAAAAGAGAAGCAGACAAAAATAATTTTACAACGATAATGTTGAAAAATTTCTAGACAATTTCTGAAAACAGCTATGTCAGAGCAGCCAGGCCTTTTAGTGACATATCGAGACTGATAAAAGAAGCAGGAGCAGAATGGGGAGGTTGTTGCTACTGTGATGGTATTATAAAGTGGAACTGGGCGATTATTCCCCTATATTGGTGTTATCTTTATTTTAATTGGTTACCTACAGAACAAGTTCAGGCGGAGAAGACATTTCATGAACAATTTGAGCCACCACCAGAAGGTAGCGCCACAGGTGGTGGTAAAGTGGAGAAAGTACAGCCTGTGTCAGATCCTCATTACGATAAAGAGCAGATTCAGACCAGGTAATGTTTTATTCACAGAAGTAGCAGGATAAACGTGATCTGTACTTGAATAATATCTTCTCAACATTGACCGGCTGTAACGGAACATCCTGGTTGTTCATCCACTTCTGCACTTTGCCCTTTTTCCGGAACCTGAATTTTGCATGCTAATCACTTTTACAGATCTGGCTTTTGTGTATGCAGACTGTTGGATCCTCACCTGTCAGGCAGAGGCACTCTGACTGTGAAGGAAAGAAATGTCAAGCTGCGATCACAACCTGTGTTTACCATTTTATGGTGTAGTCAGGAGGGTTGTGTCCCCTAGGGTTTAGAGCCACTTGGCTAGTGTAGTCAGGAGGGTTGTGTCCCCTAGGGTTTAGAGCCATATGGCTGGTGTAGTCAGGAGGGTTGTGTCCCCTAGGGTTTAGAGCCATATGGCTAGTGTAGTAAGGAGGGTTGTGTCCCCTAGGGTTTAGAGCCATATGGCTAGTGTAGTCAGGAGAGTTGTGTCCCCTAGGGTTTAGAGCCATATGGCTAGTGTAGTAAGGAGGGTTGTGTCCCCTAGGGTTTAGAGCCATATGGCTAGTGTAGTCAGGAGAGTTGTGTCCCCTAGGGTTTAGAGCCATATGGCTAGTGTAGTAAGGAGGGTTGTGTCCCCTAGGGTTTAGAGCCATATGGCTAGTGTAGTCAGGAGAGTTGTGTCCCCTAGGGTTTAGAGCCGCATGGCTAGTGTAGTCAGGAGGGTTATGTCTCCTGGGGTTTAGAGCCACATGGCTAGTGTAGTAAGGAGGGTTGTGTCCCCTAGGGTTTAGGGCTGCATGGCTAATGTAGTCAGGAGGGTTGTGTCCCCTAGGGTTTAGAGCCATATGGCTAGTGTAGTCAGGAGGGTTGTGTCCCCTAGGGTTTAGAGCCATATGGCTAGTGTAGTCAGGAGGGTTGTGTCCCCTAGGGTTTAGAGCCATATGGCTAGTGTAGTCAGGAGGGTTGTGTCCCCTAGGGTTTAGGGCTGCATGGCTAATGTAGTCAGGAGGGTTGTGTCCCCTAGGGTTTAGAGCCATATGGCTAGTGTAGTCAGGAGGGTTGTGTCCCCTAGGGTTTAGAGCCATATGGCTAGTGTAGTCAGGAGGGTTGTGTCCCCTAGGGTTTAGAGCTGCATGGCTAGTGTAGTCAGGAGGGTTGTGTCCCCTAGGGTTTAGAGCCACATGGCTGTTGTAGTCAGGAGAGTTGTGTCCCCTAGGGTTTAGAGCCATATGGCTAGTATAGTCAGGAGGGTTGTGTCCCCTAGGGTTTAGAGCCACATGGCTGTTGTAGTCAGGAGAGTTGTGTCCCCTAGGGTTTAGAGCCACATGGCTGTTGTAGTCAGGAGGGTTGTGTCCCCTAGGGTTTAGAGCCACATGGCTGTTGTAGTCAGGAGAGTTGTGTCCCCTAGGGTTTAGAGCCATATGGCTAGTATAGTCAGGAGGGTTGTGTCCCCTAGGGTTTAGAGCCACATGGCTGTTGTAGTCAGGAGAGTTGTGTCCCCTAGGGTTTAGAGCCATATGGCCATTGTAGTCAGGAGGGTTGTGTCCCCTAGGGTTTAGAGCTGCATGGCTAGTGTAGTCAGGAGGGTTGTGTCCCCTAAGGTTTAGAGCCATATGGCTAGTTTAGTCAGGAGATTTGTGTCCCCTAGGGTTTAGAGCCATATGGCTAGTATAGTCAGGAGGGTTGTGTACCCTAGGGTTTAGAGCCATATGGCTAGTGTAGTCAGGAGGGTTGTGTCCCCTGGGGTTTAGAGCTGCATGACTGGTGTAGTCAGGAGGGTTGTGTCCCCTAGGGTTTAGAGCTGCATGGCTAGTGTAGTCAGGAGGGTTGTGTCCCCTAGTGTTTAGAGCTGCATGACTGGTGTAGTCAGGAGGGTTGTGTCCCCTAGGGTAAAGAGCCATATGGCTAGTATAGTCAGGAGGGTTGTGTCTCCTATGGTTTAGAGCCATATGGCTAGTATAGTCAGGAGGGTTGTGTCCCTTAGGGTTTAGGGCCATATGGCTAGTGTGGTCAGAAGGGTTGTTGTCCGAGACCTACTTTATTAATTTACTTCTTATGGCTCGCTAGGTAGGCCAACTAATAGACTTCACTACCCTACGACACACTTAAGACATGCGCCTGCTGAGTACAAACATAATCTTTAATGTACAATGAACAATACAACTTATTACACCTCAACCAAGTTGGCAGTCCTTATCCTAAACGCCGGCGTTGAGCAGCTTTTACATTCACTGTTCAACCTGAGCCCTTCCCATGGATCCCCAAGGACACGATTACAAACTAACAGTTTAACAGTGCTGACTAAGCCGCCGTCTATTGCCACGTGGGACTCAGTGACACACGTAAGGTGTATGGCCTAAGTGTGACTGGGCAGTGTTAACGCCATTAATAATGCGTGTCACACATTCACTAGCTGCTTAACAAATACTGCATGGAACGTCTACTATACAAGGAACATTAATTCTACACTATCTCGTCGAAACATTAAATGGAAACACAGCCTATCTCAAAAATATTAACCACAAAAACTATTTAATCTAGCCATCACTAAACTAAGATACGTTTACCCGTCGTAGCCTATGTCTGCTCCAGTCCAGTCTCTACTACACAACTCTCCAAGCGAGCTCTCTTCAAGCCTTTTTGTTCCCCTCCTGCGTTCATCTCTTGACACGCGGTAATACGTGTTAACCGTGGACCTGGGCTTCGCCAGTTAACTCGACCCAGTTTTTTCCATGGTCAAGCTGCCCGGTCTCACACGGAGTTTTACTGGGGGTCAGCTCATTCATACGTGATGATTCACTATCATCAACTCTGTTCATCCCATAGCCGAACTGGCCTCTGACAGTTGTGTCCCTTAGGGTTAAGAGCCGCATTGCTAGTGTAGTCAGGAGGGTTGTGTCCCCTAGGGTTTAGAGCCACATGGCTAGTGTAGTCAGGAGGGTTGTGTCTCCTAGGGTTTAGAGCCACATGGCTAGTTTAGTCAGGAGGGTTGTGTCTCCTGGGGTTTAGAGCCACATGGCTAGTTTAGTCAGGAGGGTTGTGTCTCCTAGGGTTAAGAGCCACATGGCTAGTTTAGTCAGGAGGGTTGTGTCCCCTAAGGATTAGAGCCACATGGCTAGTGTAGTCAGGAGGGTTGTGTCCCCTAGGGTTTAGAGCCACATGGCTAGTGTAGTCAGGAGGGTTGTGTCCCCTAGGGTTTAGAGCCACATGGCTAGTGTAGTCAGGAGGGTTGTGTCCCCTAGGGTTTAGAGCCACATGGCTAGTTTAGTCAGGAGGGTTGTGTCTCCTAGGGTTTAGAGCCACATGGCTAGTTTAGTCAGGAGGGTTGTGTCCCCTAGGGTTTAGAGCTGCATGGCTAGTGTAGTCAGGAGGGTTATGTCTCCTGGGGTTTAGAGCCACATGGCTAGTGTAGTCAGGAGGGTTATGTCTCCTGGGGTTTAGAGCCACATGGCTAGTTTAGTCAGGAGGGTTATGTCTCCTGGGGTTTAGAGCCACATGGCTAGTTTAGTCAGGAGGGTTGTGTCTCCTAGGGTTTAGAGCCACATGGCTAGTTTAGTCAGGAGGGTTGTGTCCCCTAGGGTTTAGAGCCACATGGCTAGTTTAGTCAGGAGGGTTGTGTCTCCTAGGGTTTAGAGCCACATGGCTAGTTTAGTCAGGAGGGTTGTGTCCCCTAAGGTTTAGAGCCACATGGCTAGTGTAGTCAGGAGGGTTATGTCTCCTGGGGTTTAGAGCTGCATGGCTAGTGTAGTCAGGAGGGTTATGTCTCCTAGGGTTTAGAGCCATATGGCTGGTGTAGTCAGGAGGGTTGTGTCCCCTAGGGTTTAGGGCTGCATGGCTAGTTTAGTCAGGAGGGTTGTGTCCCCTAGGGTTTAGAGCCATATGGCTAGTGTAGTCAGGAGGGTTATGTCTCCTGGGGTTTAGAGCCACATGGCTAGTTTAGTCAGGAGGGTTGTGTCCCCTAAGGTTCAGAGCCACATGGCTAGTTTAGTCAGGAGGGTTGTGTCCCCTAAGGTTTAGAGCCACATGACTGGTGTAATCACCAAGCACTATGCAGGTTATAATTTTGTATTGAAGGAAACACACAAAATTAATCTACTTTTATGACATGCCTGTTTGGAAAGGGGGTGGGAGGGAGTGGGTGTGGATGTTCTTTTTTACCCCCAAAATGAGGCCCAAAAATGGACACAGAGATTTCCTCTGAATAATTGTTCTGTATAGGTCCATTTTTAGACCAGGGGGTGTGTTGAAATAAGTTGCTAACCCCATATTTGAGACCACGGGGGTGTGTTGAAATAAGTTGCTAACCCCATATTTGAGACCAGGGGGTGTGTTGAAATAAGTTGCTAACCCCATATTTGAGACCAGGGGGTGTGTTGAAATAAGTTGATAACCCCATATTTGAGACCAGGGGTGTGTTGAAATAAGTTGATAACCCCATATTTGAGACCAGGGGGTGCGTTGAAATAAGTTGATAACCCCATATTTGAGACCAGGGGGTGTGTTGAAATAAGTTGCTAACCCTATATTTGAGACCAGGGGTGTGTTGAAATAAGTTGATAACCCCATATTTGAGACCAGGGGGTGTGTTGAAATAAGTTGATAACCCCATATTTGAGACCAGGGGTGTGTTGAAATAAGTTGATAACCCCATATTTGAGACCAGTCAGCATTCAAGGATGATGTGACCAATCATACTGAAGCACCAAAGCCAGAGCTGCACATTTACTTGGTTACTGAGATTAAAGAGAGGTAGGAGAGTTGTGCAACTCAGTCTTCAAGAGATTTGATGTTTGCACTGAGTCAGGTCTTTTATGCAATCTGTGTTTAACAACTGAGATGAAAAGAGAAATCTTAAAAGCTATATAGATCCTATCCTGATATATGGAAGTGAATCATGGACAGTTGATAGATTAGTGGCAAATTGTTTGGAAGTTGCAGAGATTTGGTTCTATAGAGGAATGATGAGAATACTGTGGACAGAAAAGAGGAGTAATGAAGACGTCTGGAAAGAAACTGACTCATGAAAGAAACTGACTCATGAAAGAAACTGACTCATGAAAGAAACTGACTCATGAAGAAAACTGATTGCCCACATCAGAAATAAACAATCTAAATTCTTTGATCATGTCATGAGGAGAAAACTGGAGTAGATCCTGACATTAGGAAAGTTAGAGGGGAAGTGAGGCAGAGGGAGACTGAGAGTAAAGATGCTGAACAAGTTGACATTGTGGCATGGAGATACACATCTTGTCAGAGGGAAAATGCACTAAACAAAATGTTGTGGCTAGACATGACTACCAATGCCACATGGCATGGAGATACACATATTTTCAGAGGAAAAATACACTAAACAAAATGTTGTGAATAGACATGACTACCAATGCCACATGGCATGGAGATACACATATTTTCAGAGTGAAAATACACTAGACAAAATGTTGTAGATAGACATGACTACCAATGCCACATGGCATGGAGATACACATCTTGTCAGAGTGAAAATACACTAGACAAAATGTTGTAGATAGACATGACTACCAATGCCACATGGCATGGAGATACACATATTTTCAGAGTGAAAATACACTAGACAAAATGTTGTAGATAGACATGACTACCAATGCCACATGGCATGGAGATACACATCTTGTCAGAGTGAAAATACACTAAACAAAATGTTGTAGATAGACATGACTACCAATGCCACATGGCATGGAGATACACATCTTGTCAGAGTGAAAATACACTAAACAAAATGTTGTAGATAGACATGACTACCAATGCCACATGGCATGGAGATACACATCTTGTCAGAGTGAAAATACACTAAACAAAATGTTGTAGATAGACATGACTACCAATGCCACACAGAATGGACTTTAAGATGTAGACTGAGTCAGGTGAAAAGCCTGTACACCCTCATTAAGGTTTCATGTGTGGCTGGATATCAGAACAAGGAACTTGGGTCAGAGTCTTCTAGAGGATTGCTGATCGATCAACAACAATTTATGTGTCTGTGTACATGCACATTTTTTACTTAGAGTGCTGTATTTTAATGTTTGAATGTAAAATAACCATGCTGCCTAATTGTTTTGCGACAGTTTCACAAACTGTCTGATTGATTGCAAACTTGACATTTCTAAATGGTTGTCCAGCTTGCAGTTTCCATCTACTTGTCCCAGCTGAATCGTTTTGTATTTATTGTAAACCATTTACACACATTTTCAGAATCACTGGATTCATAAACCATTTACACACATTTTCAGAATCACTGGATTTATCAATCATTGGCCAAAAGTGCAGAAGTGGTTTCTGAAATATGGCACCCTGAAAACTGTGGATGCCAGTTTGGAGAAGGAAGCTGTTTTTCAGGAAACTGAAAAAATTCTAGAAGATTCCATAAACAGGGTAGATATTGATTGTGTTGTTGTATTGTAAGGGGTTGTAAAAGGGTACTTTGTAAGATCAAACAGTTCTGTGTTGTTGTATTGTAAGGGTTGTAAAAGGTACTTTGTAAGATCAAACAGTTCTGTGTTGTTGTATTGTAAGGGGTTGTAAAAGGTACTTTGTAAGATCAAACAGTTCTGTGTTGTTGTATTGTAAGGGGTTGTAGAAAGGTACTTTGTAAGATCAAACAGTTCTGTGTTGTTGTATTGTAAGGGGTTGTAAAAGGTACTTTGTAAGATCAAACAGTTCTGTGTTGTTGTATTGTAAGGGGTTGTAAAAGGTACTTTGTAAGATCAAACAGTTCTGTGTTGTTGTATTGTAAGGGGTTGTAAAAGTTACTTTGTAAGATCAAACAGTTCTGTGTTGTTGTATTGTAAGGGGTTGTAAAAAGGTACTTTTTAAGATCAAACAGTTCTGTGTTGTTGAATTGTAAGGGGTTGTAAAAGGTACTTTGTAAGATCAAACAGTTCTGTGTTGTTGTATTGTAAGGGGTTGTAAAAGGTACTTTGTAAGATCAAACAGTTCTGTGTTGTTGTATTGTAAGGGGTTGTAAAAGGGTACTTTGTAAGATCAAACAGTTCTGTGTTGTTGTATTGTAAGGGGTTGTAAAAGGTACTTTGTAAGATCAAACAGTTCTGTGTTGTTGTATTGTAAGGGGTTGTAAAAGGTACTTTGTAAGATCAAACAGTTCTGTGTTGTTGTATTGTAAGGGGTTGTAAAAGGTACTTTGTAAGATCAAACAGTTCTGTGTTGTTGTATTGTAAGGGGTTGTAAAAAGGTACTTTGTAAGATCAAACAGTTCTGTGATGTTGTAAGGAGTTGTAAAAGGGTACTTTGTAAGATCAAACAGTTCTGTGTTGTTGTATTGTAAGGGGTTGTAAATGGGCACTTTGTAAGATCAAACAGTTCTGTGTTGTTGTATTGTAAGGGGTTGTAAATGGGCACTTTGTAAGATCAAACAGTTCTGTGTTGTTGTATTGTAAGGGGTTGTAAATGGGCACTTTGTAAGATCAAACAGTTCTGTGTTGTTGTATTGTAAGGGGTTGTAAATGGGCACTTTGTAAGATCAAACAGTTCTGTGTTGTTGTATTGTAAGTGGTTGTAAAAGGTACTTTGTAAGATCAAACAGTTCTGTGTTGTTGTATTGTAAGGGGTTGTAAAAGGTACTTTGTAAGATCAAACAGTTCTGTGTTGTTGTATTGTAAGGGGTTGTAAAAGGTACTTTGTAAGATCAAACAGTTCTGTGTTGTTGTATTGTAAGGGGTTGTAAAAGGTACTTTGTAAGATCAAACAGTTCTGTGTTGTTGTATTGTAAGGGGTTGTAAAAGGTACTTTGTAAGATCAAACAGTTCTGTGTTGTTGTATTGTAAGGGGTTGTAAAAGGTACTTTGTAAGATCAAACAGTTCTGTGTTGTTGTATTGTAAGGGGTTGTAAAAGGTACTTTGTAAGATCAAACAGTTCTGTGTTGTTGTATTGTAAGGGGTTGTAAAAGGTACTTTGTAAGATCAAACAGTTCTGTGTTGTTGTATTGTAAGGGGTTGTAAAAGGGTACTTTGTAAGATCAAACAGTTCTGTGTTGTTGTATTGTAAGGGTTGTAAAAAGGTACTTTGTAAGATCAAACAGTTCTGTGTTGTTGTATTGAAAGGGGTTGTAAAAAGGTACTTTGTAAGATCAAACAGTTCTGTAATATTGATCCTGAGGAGAGATCAACGGCTCTGCATTCAGGACGAAGGCTCGCTATCTCATAGCAAAGGTGTGGGTTCTGATGGATCCTGTTTGTGAGTTGGCTCACCACAAATCAGACTGTTGCAAGCACTTCCATGCTGAGTTTCCCACCCCATCAGTTCTAATTAAGAAGCTGTACACGCAGATGTTTCATCATGCATCAGCCTGTCATTGATTGCTTGCATTATTTGCCCTTGTCTTTCATTGCGTCAGTGACAGATGTTTCTTAGGTCAAAGTGTCTGAGAGTTCCAGCTGGACGTTACATTCATGACAGACAATTGCTATGTTCGTAAGACATAACTGTAACATTGGCAGACAATTACTAAGTTTGTAAGATATAACTGTAACATATGTTTTGGTGTAATGTTATTTTGACAATTATCACATTTAAAAAAATATATATGTCACAAACTCAAGTAAAACATGTTGATGGCATGCATATTTTCTATATATCACAAAATGGCTGCTGAAAGAAAGATAAATATTTTGGCCACATTACTTCTTCTTTCTTGCGTTTGGTTTCATAAGCTCAGGTGGCCACGTTACAAGATAATACTTCTATAGAAACCATACTTGGGGAAAAAGGCTGAGGGCAGTGGAGTAAAAGGTAGACAGTGATATAAAGATGTACAGAGTACACAGTCAAAGGTAGACAGTGATATAAAGATGTACAGAGTACACAGTCAAAGGTAGACAGTGATATAAAGATGTACAGAGTACACAGTCAAAGGTAGACAGTGATATAAAGATGTACAGAGTACACAGTCAAAGGTAGACAGTGATATAAAGATGTACAGAGTACACAGTCAAAGGTAGACAGTGATATAAAGATGTACAGAGTACACAGTCAAAGGTAGACAGTGATATAAAGATGTACAGAGTACACAGTCAAAGGTAGACAGTGATATAAAGATGTACAGAGTACACAGTCAAAGGTAGACAGTGATATAAAGATGTACAGAGTACACAGTCAAAGGTAGACAGTGATATAAAGATGTACAGAGTACACAGTCAAAGGTAGACAGTGATATAAAGATGTACAGAGTACACAGTCAAAGGTAGACAGTGATATAAAGATGTACAGAGTACAGAGTCAAAGGTAGACAGTGATATAAAGATGTACAGAGTACACAGTCAAAGGTAGACAGTGATATAAAGATGTACAGAGTACACAGTCAAAGGTAGACAGTGATATAAAGATGTACAGAGTACATAGACAATGGCTGGGTCATAAGAATGCAAGAGGCAGAAGAAATGACAAAGGTTAGACAAGTCTTCCAGTCAGCAGTCATGATAGTGATGCTCTTCAAAGGATCTGCTCCTGATGATGATCGTGATTAAAGTGAGAATATTTGCCTTGTCTCAGTAAAACTGTGTCTTTGGTAATGCAGCCTGGCATGTCAAACTGTTTCTGTCATCAGATCTGTGAAGGAGAGCAGCACCAGGATATTTTTGCTGAAGAAAAACAGCAGCCGGAGGAGAAGGAAGTAAGTTAACTCCCTTGTGTGTTCATTATCAGAGAACTGTGCTAGCACATTCGCTAGACAATTGCCTGCTGGCCCAAAGGTCTGGGATTTCAACCCCCATTGGGGCAAATTAAAGCAACTGACCTGGGCTTCCACGCCGACCCATTCTAAAATGCTTGCTAGGAAATGTTCTGGGAGGTAGAGGTGCTGGTTTGATGTTGACCACATCTTTGACTGAGTGCCAGTGGGTCTATAAGACTATCGGTGGGTCTATAAGACTATCGGTTGGTCTATCAGACTATCAGTGGGTCTATAAGACTATCAGTGGGTCTATAAGACTATCAGTGGGTCTATAAGACTATCAGTGGGTCTATAAGACTATCAGTGGGTCTATAAGACTATCAGTGGGTCTATAAGACTATCAGTGGGTCTATAAGACTATCGGTGGGTCTATAAGACTATCAGTGGATCTATAAGACTATCAGTGGATCTATAAGACTATCAGTGGGTCTATAAGACTATCAGTGGGTCTATAAGACTATCGGTGGGTCTATAAGACTATCAGTGGGTCTATCAGACTATCAGTGGGTCTATAAGACTACCAGTGGGTCTATAAGACTATCAGTGGATCTATAAGACTATCAGTGGGTCTATAAGACTATCAGTGGGTCTATAAGACTATCAGTGGATCTATAAGACTACCAGTGGGTCTATAAGACTATCAGTGGATCTATAAGACTATCAGTGGGTCTATAAGACTATCAGTGGATCTATAAGACTATCAGTGGGTCTATAAGACTACCAGTGGGTCTATAAGACTATCAGTGGATCTATAAGACTATCAGTGGGTTTATAAGACTATCAGTGGGTCTATAAGACTATCAGTGGATCTATAAGACTACCAGTGGGTCTATAAGACTATCAGTGGATCTATAAGACTATCAGTGGGTCTATAAGACTATCAGTGGATCTATAAGACTATCAGTGGGTCTATAAGACTACCAGTGGGTCTATAAGACTATCAGTGGATCTATAAGACTATCAGTGGGTTTATAAGACTATCAGTGGGTCTATAAGACTATCAGTGGATCTATAAGACTACCAGTGGGTCTATAAGACTATCAGTGGATCTATAAGACTATCAGTGGGTCTATAAGACTATCAGTGGATCTATAAGACTATCAGTGGGTCTATAAGACTATCAGTGGGTCTATAAGACTATCAGTGGGTCTATAAGACTATCAGTGGGTCTATAAGACTATCAGTGGGTCTATAAGACTATCGGTGGGTCTATCAGACTATCAGTGGGTCTATCAGACTATCAGTGGGTCTATAAGACTATCAGTGGGTCTATAAGACTATCGGTTGGTCTATCAGACTATCAGTGGGTCTATAAGACTATCAGTGGGTCTATAAGACTATCAGTGGGTCTATAAGACTATCAGTGGGTCTATAAGACTATCAGTGGGTCTATAAGACTATCGGTGGGTCTATAAGACTATCAGTGGATCTATAAGACTATCAGTGGATTTATAAGACTATCAGTGGGTCTATAAGACTATCAGTGGGTCTATAAGACTATCGGTGGGTCTATAAGACTATCAGTGGGTCTATCAGACTATCAGTGGGTCTATAAGACTACCAGTGGGTCTATAAGACTATCAGTGGATCCATAAGACTATCAGTGGGTCTATAAGACTATCAGTGGGTCTATAAGGCTATCAGTGGATCTATAAGACTACCAGTGGATCTATAAGACTATCAGTGGATCTATAAGACTATCAGTGGGTCTATAAGACTATCAGTGGGTCTATAAGACTATCAGTCGGTCTATAAGACTACCAGTGGGTCTATAAGACTATCAGTGGATCTATAAGACTATCAGTGGGTCTATAAGACTATCAGTGGGTCTATAAGACTATCAGTGGATCTATAAGACTACCAGTGGGTCTATAAGACTATCAGTGGATCTATAAGACTATCAGTGGGTCTATAAGACTATCAGTGGATCTATAAGACTATCAGTGGATCTATAAGACTATCAGTGGGTCTATAAGACTATCAGTGGGTCTTTAAGACTATCAGTGGGTCTATAAGACTATCGGTGGGTCTATCAGACTATCAGTGGGTCTATCAGACTATCAGTGGGTCTATAAGACTACCAGTGGGTCTATAAGACTATCAGTAGGTCTAAAAGACTATCAGTGGGTCTATAAGACTATCGGTGGGTCTATCAGACTATCAGTGGGTCTATAAGACTATCAGTGGGTCTATCAGACTATCAGTGGGTCTATAAGACTATCAGTGGGTCTATAAGACTATGAGTCGTCTAACACCATTAGTCCGACCCACCTGGATCCTGGACTTGATGGGCTTCACAGTCATAATTCACTACTGCATATTCATCATAAAGAGGGTGCTAAAATATTACATAGAACCTGTTCTGCTGTATGGCAGCGAATCTTGGAATGTCAGTGAACGAATTAAGAGGAGTTTGGAAGCAACAGAGATGTGGTTTCTGAAACGAATGTTACGAATAACTTGGACGGCCAGAATAACTAACAACAATTGCTTGAAAGAAGCTAATGAAAGTAGATCTCTATATACAACAATAAGAAGGAGACAAACACTGTTCTTTGGCCACATAATGAGAAGAGAGACATTGGAGAGCATCGTGACAACTGGGACGATCAGTGGAAAGAGGTGTAGAGGCAGGCCAAGAGAGATGATGCTGGATGGGCTAAAACGATGGCATGGAGGGAAATCATCAAAAGAGTTGTTCCAGTCAACCAGGGATCGTGATCTGTGGAGACGCATGAGCGCCAACGCCAGTTCGCAGGGCACATGATGATGATGATGATGATATTATCATCAATCAGGTGCCGTCTTCACAATGAAGGTCGGCTGCAATAGATCTCAAACTATACCTCCAACATACAACTAAACATATAAAGTACAACTTATAACTGAATAAGATATAAAGTATAACACATATAACTAAAAAAAACTATACAGTACAACATATAACCAAATAAAATATAAAGTACAACGCTTAACTAAATAAATATAAGGTACCACAGAACTGAATAAAATATAAGATACAAGATAACTAAATAAAATATAAAGTACAACGCTTAAATAAATAGAATATAAGGTACCACAGAACTGAATAAAATATCAGATACAAGATAACTTTAAAAAATCTGAAGACAAAAGCTGGCAGGCCCCTTAGATACACCATAAGTTGAAAATTACATATGGTGCTAGCCCCATACCCTAAGAGACCAATCAGCACTCAGAGAATGATGTCATCGATAGCATACCAGCTGCCTTTGCTTCCCATGATGTTTCCTTGCACCCATTTTAGGGTGGGTCAGCCTGGGAGCTCAGCTTTATTGTTAACATCCACCTCACTCGGGGTTCCAGCACACTAGCAGGCAAAACTGCCAGCCACTGTGCTGACTTCATTGTACATCATCCAGCGGTATACATACAGACACAACAGCAGACAAAACTGCCAGCCACTGTGCTGACTTCATTGTACATCATCCAGCGGTATACATACAGACACAACAGCAGACAAAACTGCCAGCCACTGTGCTGACTTCATTGTACATCATCCAGCGGTATACATACAGACACACACACCCATATATACTTGTATAAATAAAACAATTAAATATTTCCCAATAATATATATGCAACAATCGTATGTCTCCCAGCACTATATATAAATATATATATATATATATATATATATATATATATATATATATATATATATATATATATATATATATATATATATATATATATATATATATATAAAATAATCATTTGTTTCCTATCAATATATATAAAACAATCATGTTTTCCAACACTATTTATATATAAATAACAATCATGTTTCCCAACACACACATATATATACACACATACACACACATAAAATCGTCATATTTTCCCCCAACTTTTTCTGTGGGTTCTGCAGCCTCATTGTGGGGGAAGGGGAAAGGGTGTTGAGGGTGGAAGATTAGACAAACGCTCCCCCTCTTTGCAAGCCAACAAGCATGTCACAATAGTCAACTAATGAGGGGTGTGTCCTGTGAAGTCAGAGTGCAGCCATCTGAGAGGCGAGGAACCAACAGTCTGTATTCAAATAAGCATAAGGCAGATCTGTAAAGCAGATGTGAATGCAAAATGCCATTTCTGGAAGAAGACCAAAGTCCAGAACTGGATGAACAACCATAATTTTCTGCCAGAGTTTACAACTGTTTAATGTGAAAAAGAAGAAGAAGGTATTCCTTGCAACAGTATACAAATCACATAAAACTGGCTGTCACTCCAAAATAACAATAAATGATGAAGAAATTGAAAATGTCACAAACTTTAAATATCTAGGCTCTATTATAAACAACAATGGAGACTGTTTTACAGAAATAAAAAGGAGGATGGCCATAGCAATGCAAAGAATAAACAGCTTTAAAAGTCTATGGTTAAGCACTAGCCTGGATATCAGAATTAGAATTTTGAGAGCATGCATCTTCTCTGTAGCAACATACGGATGTGAGTTGTGGACTATCAGTCCTTAAAAAAAATGAATAGGGGCTTTTGAGCTGAAATGCTATAGAAAGGTTCTCAGAATATCTTGGACAAAGAAGAAGAGAAATGCTGACATCTTGAAAGATCTGAACATCAAGAAAGATTGGTTAATAAACAGCATCCTGCCTCGGATGCTGAATTATTTTGGCCATATCAAGCGCCACAACAGATTGGTAAAAATAATGGCAGAAGGAATGGTACCAGGAAGGAGGGGCAGGGGCCGACCGACACAAAGATGGGCACAGGATATGAGTGACTCCTTGAAAATGAAAGTACATGAGGCGGGAGAGCTGGCGAGAGACCGAGTTTCTTTCAGGCAGACCGTGAGGAGAGTGATGTTCAGCAAAGGACCTGCTACCTGATGATGATGATAAAAATCATAGAAAAATATTTATAATGAGAATGAAAGGCATAAGTTAAATGACCAGCAACTACTGCAAGAATTACATTTATTCAGCTGGAATAAAATAAGTCCATTGTGCAGCAGAAATAAGAAACATGTCACAAGTAAACAGTTGTCTGTAGAAAACTGAAAGTAGTTGTCTCCCTTTGAGTGAAAAACTATTATTTAGCAGGCACCAGGAGGTCCACCTGAGGCAGGGCCATCTGAAATACCAGCTGCAGAAACTCCTGCTCCAGGGGGACCTGAAACCAGACTGTCAAGAGCTGTATCTGCTGTGAAGGAAGGTGGGTTGACTTGTGTGTTGCTGTGATTATTAAATTATTTCTTCATGTATAGATAGAAATAAAGGAGACAAACCTACTTCCTATGTTCTGACTGAGCATGTTATATTTCTTGTCCTTATTAGGACAAATGTTTTCGTTATTTGAAACCCTACTCTGGCTCTTGCCAGGGGCCGCAATATAGCCTGGCCATAAATATGGCCTAAGGGCTAAACGCGGTTTATGGGACCTCTCCACAGTGATCCTCACTTGCATGGTGGCACATTGTCATCAGGTGTTTATCACGTGTGTGGTGTCCTGGTGGGGTAGAAAGTCAGTCAGTCAGACTGAATATCTTAATAAAGCAGTAGTTCCATCCCCTTGCATTGAAGACATTAGTGAATTACCTTTGTACAGATCTGTGATTCTTGTTTCATCGACTGTGTTTATACTTACTTCGCAAGGCAATTAAAATGGAGTTGATTATAGTAAAGCTTTCGTTAAGCATAAATAAAAACACAAAATATAATTCTTTAGTGCTGCAATTGAACGAGGCAGAATGAACATTGAGGCTAAACCACTTTATCATCAAGGATAATAAATAGCCATCTTCAGTCGTACCAACCGCAGGAGGTCTATAATCCAGGGACTAGGATTTGCCCAGTCGCACAGACTGATTCTCCAGTGAACAGATTCTCTTGCCACTGATGTGTTTCAGTAGTCTCCTTCAACTAAGTCTAGGATGGTTCATTGAAATTGGGAGTCTCTGTGGCAGAGTAGTTGTTTGCCTTGCTCTATGAAAGTCATGGGGTTGTTTTATTGAAGGGTCATTCATTTCATGACTGCAGTTACTGAGATTCATGGAAATTGTTGCTGGAGCTAGGGAGTATGTGGTTTGTGTGGCACTATCAGTAGGCAGCTAGCCATTGTGCAGTAAGAGGTCAAGCCATGTGGGTGAAACCCAGTCCAGTAAACTCGATCCACTTTGGTTGAAGTGCACAGAGCAAGAGGGAGACCATGCAGAACATAGAGTGACAAAACCAGATTACAAAGAGCACATAGACAAACTTTGGTCTCATCCCAACACTGAGATGAATGGAGGAAGAGAAGAAGAAGAAGAAGCAGGAGAAGAAGTAGCAACAGCAAAGGCAGCAGCATCAGAGGCAGCAGCAGCATAGATAGCAGCTGTGGCAGCAGCAGTTGCAGCAGAAGAAGGAGAGGAGGAGGAAAAGAAAAAGAATGTGTGTATCATCTGATCATTGTATACTCCTTAACACTACCTACTTTATCTTAGCACCTTTTGTCTGAATAGCTGCTGAATTCACCCACTCTGTCAAAGCTATTTATTTAACTTTTATTATATTCATATCAGGTTTACTTACTCTGTCTTGCTTTCCATTAAGATTTCTCTCTGTATCCAGACTGTTGTTAATTAAAGTTTTGTCTGTCTCTGAGACAACTCCTAACCATTATAATGACTAATCTGGTAGAGTTTGTTACATTGTCTTCTTTATTTTGACACAAAAATTGTGCAAATAGGAACACCAGATGGTTCAAAGGGATCCAAAGAAACTAAGTCATCAGAGAAATCTGGTACAGATGTGATGCCGTCAACCAGTAAACTCATTGCAGAAAAACCCTTGGCAGATGAAATATTCGAACCGGCCAGAAAACAAGAAGTAGATGTAGAATTTGATATTCTCATTTCGGTTAACTTAGGTAATCACAGGAAAGCACTTAGTTTTGTGTTTGCTGTTGGAAACATTCACATATTTCAGTTTTCTGGTTTAGTCTCCATTTACTTTTGGTAATTATCATTTTGTTAAGTTTGCACTGAAAAAAATATTGTTTTTCTATTGTTTTATATTGTTTAGATATTTTACTATTTTCTTGCAGCAGCTAAAGTGATGATAGATATAGTTTGTAAGATCTCAAGTTATTTATATGCAGTAGTAAATTCAGAAAAATAGTTTGTAAGATCTCAAGTTATTTATATGCAGGAGTAAATTCAGAAACAATTCAGACAAAACAGACAATGAAAAATATCTGTGTGTTAACCGTGGATGGAATAGTGTAATTTTTTTGTTGTTAACTTCAGTATTACGTCAATAAATGGAGGAAATTAAAACATTTAAAAAAAATGTAACACCAAAATACTAAAACTTGAGGGATTAAAATATCAAATCAAGGATCTTTTTCTTTGCTTTGGGTTACATTAGGTTAATGGTGCTGGCACCATATTGTGGTGGTGTGATCAGTAATGTGCTGGCCACTTTTACTTCCCATTATAGTATTCTTGTACCCACTTTATGTTAGGGTAACTGAAAGAGCAGGTCAGTGTTTTAAAAAAAAATCCTAGTCTCAAATGGTATTTGAACACACACCTACTGTGCTGACATGCAAACTTGCTAACCACCGCACTACCACAGTTCCCAACAAGAAAAACAACTGTACAGTTTAGTTTGTTTTTTTAACTTTAACAATCAAAAAGTGTGGGAAATAATTCCGGTCAGATATTTGTTTCACTGTTAGAAATTTGTTGAATCATGAAACCGTCTGTGACCTAGATAAAAGTTCTGCCAGGGCCAGCAGTTCACCAAAAGACAAGAAGTCAAGGTCACCAAAAGGCAAAAAGTCAGACTCAAGTAGCCCCAAGAGGAAGGGAAGTAGAGGTGAGGTATTTTGGCCACCTTATATGTATTATCTAAGTGTCCTGTGTGCAATCAGTTGGGCTGTTTTTTTACTGGGGACCATATATATATATATATATATATATATATATATATATATATAAGATCTAAGTGTACTTTGTGCAGTAAATTGACCATTTTGTGTTTACTCCTGTTTTTGGTGCTCATATTTACGAGCCTCACAGATTTGTTTACAACAATTATCAGTTGTTTGTTGCTCTCCCTGGACCTGCAGCTGCTGCAGCTTCCACTTGTAGATACTTTCTTTCTGACTGCACACTGCTCTTCTGTCTTCTTGGGTGCCTGCTAGCTTATGTTTTTTTTTCTTAATGCCTCCATATTCATGTTTTTAATGCCTCCTTCTCCTTGTTTCATGATTGATGTGATCAGATATTACTTGCTTTGACAACAGATCAAGATTTTTTGCTGAAATTATTTTGTGGTTTAAACTGTTGCCCTGGTTTTACTTTTTCCCTTTTCAGGGGCAGAATGGGGTCACGGGGGATAGGTTATTATGAGAATAGGGAAACGAGGATAGGGTCAATATGAGAACGGGGAAACGAGGATAGGGTCAATATGAGAATGGGGACACGAGGGTTAAGTCAATGTGAGAATAACTAGAACCAACATTTTTAGTTATCACAAAATTTTTCCAGACAATTTCTTCTCATAAAATGTCCCAGAAAATTGTGATTGCCTCTTTCAGATGTTTGTGATAAGCTTTTTTTGTGCTTCATCTCTTTCAGATGTTTGTGATAAGCTTTCTTTGTGCTTCATCTCTTTCAGATGTTTGTGATAAGCTTTCTTTGTGCTTCATCTCTTTCAATTGATCAAACCTTTCCAAGGAGTATCTTGTCATTTTTATGTAGAATCACTTCTGTCTCCGAGATCTCACTTCAGACTCTATCTCAGATTCTGGAATTCTTAATTAACAGCCATATTTTAAACTGAAAAGAATTTCTTATATAAATTATTCTTCATTTGATTATATTCAGTTTTTAATTGGTCATATTCTGTTCTGTTGATGTTCTTAGCATAATTATCCCCATTTTATCACAGTATGCAGAATGCAGTATCATGTTATATTCTTACAATCCTATTTTATTATTGTCATATTTCATCCGGCTCTGTTAAAAATTTAAAGCTGAATGCCAGACTTGAACAAGAAACAAAATAAAATAGTGAACAATATTCTCAAATGCTTAGTCTGAGAAAATGTCAAACTTGAAAAAAGAAACCAATTAAAAAATACATTGAGCAATTATTCTTAGACACATATTTCATGAGAAGATGTTCCACAATTAGATAAGTGTGCAACTTGGTTGAATTTCTTTTGGAGTTTTTGTTCTGGTTTCAAATTTGTCACATTCAAGCTTATGTTATGTTGTTTATTTCACATGCGTAGTTTATATACGCATATCTAATGTACATACACATCAACACTAAGACATACAAGCTAGATATTGTCAAATCTGTTGGCAGTACGTAAATGGTGCAGGTGCACAAATAGATCATCATGGTTTGAAGAAAGTGATGCAATAGGTAGTGACCAGAGAATGTGATTGACACTCAGCCCCCAGGGGAAGGAAAGGCGGACATACAATCACACGGCTGCTGGTACCATTTCAGTTAGAACATTGTCCCTGATGCTAAAGATAAGAATGGGGAAGGCAAGGCGGACATACAGTCACACGGCTGCTGGTACCATTTCAGTTAGAACATTGTCCCTGATGCTGAAGATAAGAATGGGGAAGGCAAGGCGGACATACAGTCACACGGCTGCTGGTAGCATGTCAGTTAGAACATTGTCCCTGATGCTGAAGATAAGAATGGGGAAGGCAAGGCGGACATACAATCACACGGCTGCTGGTAGCATGTCAGTTAGAACATTGTCCCTGATGCTGAAGATAAGAATGGGGAAGGCAAGGCGGACATACAATCACACGGCTGCTGGTAGCATGTCAGTTAGAACATTGTCCCTGATGCTGAAGATAAGAATGGGGAAGGCAAGGCGGACATACAGTCACACGGCTGCTGGTAGCATGTCAGTTAGAACATTGTCCCTGATGCTGAAGATAAGAATGGGGAAGGCAAGGCGGACATACAGTCACACGGCTGCTGGTAGCATGTCAGTTAGAACATTGTCCCTGATGCTGAAGATAAGAATGGGGAAGGCAAGGCGGACATACAATCACACGGCTGCTGGTAGCATGTCAGTTAGAACATTGTCCCTGATGCTGAAGATAAGAATGGGGAAGGCAAGGCGGACATACAATCACACGGCTGCTGGTAGCATGTCAGTTAGAACATTGTCCCTGATGCTGAAGATAAGAATGGGGAAGGCAAGGCGGACATACAGTCACACGGCTGCTGGTAGCATGTCAGTTAGAACATTGTCCCTGATGCTGAAGATAAGAATGGGGAAGGCAAGGCGGACATACAATCACACGGCTGCTGGTAGCATGTCAGTTAGAACATTGTCCCTGATGCTGAAGATAAGAATGGGGAAGGCAAGGCGGACATACAGTCACACGGCTGCTGGTAGCATGTCAGTTAGAACATTGTCCCTGATGCTGAAGATAAGAATGGGGAAGGCAAGGCGGACATACAGTCACACGGCTGCTGGTAGCATGTCAGTTAGAACATTGTCCCTGATGCTGAAGATAAGAATGGGGAAGGCAAGGCGGACATACAATCACACGGCTGCTGGTAGCATGTCAGTTAGAACATTGTCCCTGATGCTGAAGATAAGAATGGGGAAGGCAAGGCGGACATACAATCACACGGCTGCTGGTAGCATGTCAGTTAGAACATTGTCCCTGATGCTGAAGATAAGAATGGGGAAGGCAAGGCGGACATACAGTCACACGGCTGCTGGTAGCATGTCAGTTAGAACATTGTCCCTGATGCTGAAGATAAGAATGGGGAAGGCAAGGCGGACATACAGTCACACGGCTGCTGGTAGCATGTCAGTTAGAACATTGTCCCTGATGCTGAAGATAAGAATGGGGAAGGCAAGGCGGACATACAGTCACACGGCTGCTGGTAGCATGTCAGTTAGAACATTGTCCCTGATGCTGAAGATGAGAATGGGGAAGGCAAGGCAGACATACAGTCACACGGCTGCTGGTAGCATGTCAGTTAGAACATTGTCCCTGATGCTGAAGATAAGAATGGGGAAGGCAAGGCGGACATACAGTCACACGGCTGCTGGTAGCATGTCAGTTAGAACATTGTCCCTGATGCTGAAGATGAGAATGGGGAAGGCAAGGCAGACATACAGTCACACGGCTGCTGGTAGCATGTCAGTTAGAACATTGTCCCTGATGCTGAAGATAAGAATGGGGAAGGCAAGGCGGACATACAGTCACACGGCTGCTGGTAGCATGTCAGTTAGAACATTGTCCCTGATGCTGAAGATAAGAATGGGGAAGGCAAGGCGGACATACAGTCACACGGCTGCTGGTAGCATGTCAGTTAGAACATTGTCCCTGATGCTGAAGATGAGAATGGGGAAGGCAAGGCAGACATACAGTCACACGGCTGCTGGTAGCATGTCAGTTAGAACATTGTCCCTGATGCTGAAGATAAGAATGGGGAAGGCAAGGCGGACATACAGTCACACGGCTGCTGGTAGCATGTCAGTTAGAACATTGTCCCTGATGCTGAAGATAAGAATGGGGAAGGCAAGGCGGACATACAGTCACACGGCTGCTGGTAGCATGTCAGTTAGAACATTGTCCCTGATGCTGAAGATAAGAATGGGGAAGGCAAGGCGGACATACAGTCACACGGCTGCTGGTAGCATGTCAGTTAGAACATTGTCCCTGATGCTGAAGATAAGAATGGGGAAGGCAAGGCGGACATACAGTCACACACGGCTGCTGGTAGCATGTCAGTTAGAACATTGTCCCTGATGCTGAAGATAAGAATGAGGAAGGCAAGGCGGACATACAGTCACACGGCTGCTGGTAGCATGTCAGTTAGACATTGTCCCTGATGCTGAAGATAAGAATGGGGAAGGCAAGGCGGACATACAGTCACACGGCTGCTGGTAGCATGTCAGTTAGAACATTGTCCCTGATGCTGAAGATAAGAATGGGGAAGGCAAGGCGGACATACAATCACACGGCTGCTGGTAGCATGTCAGTTAGAACATTGTCCCTGATGCTGAAGATAAGAATGGGGAAGGCAAGGCAGACATACAATCACACGGCTGCTGGTAGCATGTCAGTTAGAACATTGTCCCTGATGCTGAAGATAAGAATGGGGAAGGCAAGGCAGACATACAGTCACACGGCTGCTGGTACCATTTCAGTTAGAACATTGTCCCTGATGCTGAAGATAAGAATGGGGAAGGCAAGGCGGACATACAATCACACGGCTGCTGGTAGCATGTCAGTTAGAACATTGTCCCTGATGCTGAAGATAAGAATGGGGAAGGCAAGGCGGACATACAGTCACACGGCTGCTGGTAGCATGTCAGTTAGAACATTGTCCCTGATGCTGAAGATAAGAATGGGGAAGGCAAGGCGGACATACAGTCACACGGCTGCTGGTAGCATGTCAGTTAGAACATTGTCCCTGATGCTGAAGATAAGAATGGGGAAGGCAAGGCGGACATACAGTCACACGGCTGCTGGTAGCATGTCAGTTAGAACATTGTCCCTGATGCTGAAGATAAGAATGGGGAAGGCAAGGCGGACATACAGTCACACGGCTGCTGGTAGCATGTCAGTTAGAACATTGTCCCTGATGCTGAAGATAAGAATGGGGAAGGCAAGGTGGACATACAGTCACACGGCTGCTGGTAGCATGTCAGTTAGAACATTGTCCCTGATGCTGAAGATAAGAATTGAGCTTTTATAGGCATTTCTTGAGGGCTTTGGTGTCAGTTCTTGAATCAACTCAATTCTTCAAACTAATAGATGTGTGCGTGCACACGTGTGCGCACACGCACACACACGCATGCAAGCGCTCACGCACACACACAGACACCACACACACACATATGCATGCACACACAGACACCACACATACACATATGCACGCACACACACACACATGCACTCACACACACACACAAACATATCTAGATCCATATTCTGGAACCATCTAGACCCATGTTCTGGAACCATCTAGATCCAATCCATATTCGGAAACCATCTAGACCCATGTTCTGGAACCATCTAGGCCCATGTTCTGGAACCATCTAGATCCATGTTCTGGAACCATCTAGATCCATGTTCTGGAACAATCTAGATCCACATTCTGGAACCATCTAGATCCACATTCTGGAACAATCTAGACCCATGTTCAGGAATCACTCCAACACAGCAGATTATCAATAAATGCTGTAGGTGGAGAAAAACGAGTTAGTACAGGAGCTCTTCACCTTATGCTGAAATAGGTCAAAGTTCAAGGTCGAGAGGATTAACTTGTTGCACCAGATTAACCCATTTAACTCAACTGTCTCCAAAGAACGGCTAGCCGCCGTAGACACTTGCCGAGAGCTTCACATAAAACAGAAACTCCATAGCTCCAGCTATGATCCCCAGGGATCTATGTAAAAGTGGCACTCACGAACTCATGCGTGGAACAAGCCCATGACCTTGAGAGTGCGGAACAAATGGCTTGACCACTTCACCATGAAGATTCCCCCCTCCCAGATTAAATAAATAAACAAACAGATGAAGAATGGAACTTACAGCATTTTCTTAGAACATCGCCTACTTTGGCAGCCAACAAAGAGTTCCGACACTAATAGACTTGGTTACAAGTAAGCCTATCTCTACCCTACCCCCATGGTGAGTGTTATCCCGCTTATGTCCTCACTAACTCAGTCTTGCTATATACTATCTAGTCTTATTACAATGGTGTAATTCCTACAGTCTACTAATCTGTTGCATTGAATATTCTGCAAAAGTATTAGAACTTATAACTTGACCAGTGCTAGGACCCCAGTTAAGTCAGAGACAGTTCTGTTTCAGGAAGGGAGAGAGCTGTACAGATGCAATATTTTCTTGAAGGCAGGTATGCGAGCAGTCTACTGAATATGAAAGAAGTCATCATCTTATTTTATAAATCAAGAGAAGGCATTTGATCGAGTCAACAGATGCAAACTATGAAAAAACTAGAAGATTATGGTTTAAGATCAACAGTTGGGTAACATCATGGCTCTTTACCAAGCTAATCAGTGTACAGTAAGAACAACACAAGAAACGATAGACTGGATTCCCCTCTCATCAGGTGTCAGACAGGGATATGTCCTCTCATTATTGCTATTCATTACTTACATGGATGGAATATCACAGGAATCAAATACAGACACTGAAGAAATCAATGAATTTTTTTTTGCTGATGATCCGTGTCTAATACACCACTAAGAACAGAATTTACAACACCATATTGACTCCTTACTTAAAGCCTGCACAAAGTACGACATGAGAATAAACACCATGAAAACTGAGGTAATGAGGATAGGCAGTAAACATAATATCATGTTAACGGTACTACAATCAAACAAGTACGAGAATTTAAATATCTTACAGAGGATGGCAGACTGGAAGAAGAGATAGAAGGCAAAAGCTGTCATCTACCATTTAGCTCCACTGCTTAGACACCCAGATGTCTCCCTTCCAGCAAAACAGGAAATGATTAATAGCATCTTTATCACTACTTTGTGCTATCAGTGCCAAACATGGACAATTAATAGGGCACTAAAACAGAAAATTACTCTGTGCAAAATGTGCTGTCTCTGCAAGGTCACTAACAACACTATACCAGACAGGGTTACGAATACCAGCATTAGAGAGAGAAAGTTGGAATAAGACCATGTCTGGATTATATTAACAGACAAAGAATGAAATGGTTTGGCCATCTATTAAGAATGCAGCCAGACCAGACTGCATATGAGACCTTTTACAGTAGAACATCTGGGAGGAAGGCAAGATGAAGCCCAAGAAAGAGATAGATATATGGTGTAGATGAAACCTGCACAAAGTTGAACAAATCTATCATTCCACTGAGAAACGCAAGATAAATACAGTAAACCACTGGGCCACAACCTGGTAACAGTGAGATGATAGAAGAAGAAGAAGATGAAGAAGAAGAAGAAGAAGAAGATCGAATATCCTTTAAGTGACAGAGTGCAATACAACCTGACAACATCCTTTTCAAGGGTGAATGCAGAAGAAGAAGAAGAAGATCGAATATCCTTTAAGTGACAGAGTGCAATACAACCTGACAACATCCCTTTCAAAGGTGAATGCAGAAGAAGAAGAAGAAGAAGAAGAAGAAGAAGAAGAAGAAGAAGAAGAAGAAGAAGAAGATCGAATATCCTTTAAGTGACAAAGTGCAATACAACCTGACAACATCCCTTTCAAATGTGAATGCAGAAGAAGAAGAAGAAGAAGAAGAAGAAGAAGAAGAAGAAGAAGAAGAAGAAGAAGATCGAATATCCTTTAAGTGACAGAGTGCAATACAACTTGACAACATTCCTTTCAAAGGTGATTGCAGAAGGAGAAGATACACTTGTAAGATACTATCGAAGGACTCAGATTTTGACTAAAACTGTTGACCTTTTCTTTTCTTCTGATATCAAGGTTCTGCTTCGTCTGATAAAAGAAAATCACACACAAACAAGATTACAGAGGTGGAAAGTCGTTCAGAACCAGAGCTTCCTGTAGGGCCTCCACCTCCCAAACCTGGAGATGATGAATGGATCTTTGTGGATTTAGATATTGATATTGTGAGTAATAATGGCTTCACCTGTTTGTTTATTTGTAAACTGGAAGATGCTGTTACATATACAGATGGTCCTGTGATTCTTTAAAGTGAAGTGCATTGGCTTTCATGGCAGGAACCAAAGGAGTAGTCATTGAAGAGGACAATGGAGCCTTGGCTTCTACAACCAGCAACATGATAATGAAGGTCATGGCCGTGTCAAAGGCCCTAGAATGGCTGAAAACTCAGGAATTCACTAATGCAGGTTTGCTCAGTGACTATATGAGGATGCTACAGAAGATCAAGGCGAGGTATACATCGCAACTGTGAATCCATGATACAGCACTCAGCAATTCACCAAATCATCATCATTTTTGTCCCATGTGTGAGAGGCAATGAATGAACGAACAAACAAACTTTATTTTCAAAGGGTTAATAATTGGGCACGCAGGCACGTCTAACATTCTCCCCACTCTGCGCCTTGCATACAATTATTCATTTCTACCTCATTTCATAGAGAATAATAAACATAATAAGAGGAAGATTAAAAAAAAAAAAACAGTTTACAAAATCTAAGTCTTTATTATAAATCATGGAATGTGCTCTAATTATACTGACACTACTGAACATTTTAAAGAGTATAGGAAAAAGACTATTCCAGAAATGATATAAGTCTTACAGGTTGCATAATATAAACATCAAAATCAATTAAATATTAGTTACCAACATTGGAATGCGCTCGACTGGCATCTTTTTTTTTCATTAGAAAAAAGTTAAATAAGACATACAATGGAAATACATCATAGCCTCAACATACTATAATCTGAAAGATGATTCCACAGCTGAGCTGCAGAGTACGCTAAGCTTGTTTTGTATAGGTCTATTCTAGGTTTAGAGATATGCAATATGTTAAGGCGTTTGCTATGCCTTTCATTGTATTTAATTAATAGCCAAAGGTAACATGGACAATTTTTACATATGATTTTATGACTAAGTTTAGCTTTATTGAATATTAGGCCTTTCTGAAGCGGTAATAGCATGAGTTCTTTATACAGGTGCTAACAGTCACTTCAATGACTATTAGCTATTAAATGAACAGCCCTTCTTTGGAGTGCTTTCAGCCGTTTGATGACTGAATTTGCACACCCATCCCATATTATGGAGCAATAGCCTATGTGGGTCTGAATATGAAAAGTATAGCATAATTTTCTAGTGTTTTTATCCAGAAAGTTTTTAATTTTTGCTAGTTGGTATACTTTTGTAGCAGTTTGCTTAACAAGTGTTTGCACATGGGAGTTGAAGGTAAGATTTCCATCGATGATTAGGCCTAAAGCTTTGTGCTCAGTTACTCTTTCTACTGGGGTGTTACCTGTGTAGAGTTGAAGGGTTCTGACAATCGGAAGGCTACTGTTGTGTTCCCTGTATTTCTACTACATATATGGTAGCAGTAGAGACAAAGATAGACTTAGCCAAGGATACATTTTCTTTCACTATCCCGAGTGAAGCCGGGCAAATAAGTCTAGTTTCTAGTTTTTCTGTAAATGTGTTTCTTGGTGTCGCCACAGTGCGTCTGATTGTCAGCACTCGGGCCATCCCCCACTTGTATAGGGTAAATATTTTCAGATGTACAGAATAGAGCCCTCACTGCCGATCTATCTTTTGTGTTTGGAGGATAGAAAAGTATTCAACACAAGGGGAAAGTTCAGCAGGGAACTAGCTTAGCTCAGTGATAACGTTCGCTGGCAGAGTACATAGCAGCAAAAGGGTTAAATTCCCGTCAAATAGCAATTGAAACCAAATTTGACTTGGGTTTCCAGCCAGGCCAACCCAGTTAAAAATGGGCAGCAGGAAATGTTAGGGGAGGTAAGTGCAGCCAGCATGATGTTTAGCTTAATTACCATCTCGCTAGAGTAATTGGTCTATAAAAATGTGCCCAGTAAATTATGAAACACAGAAACAGATGCTTTTTTGGGGGGGAAAGGGGGGGGGGGGGGATCACTTTATAATGCCGTTTTTCCAAATGCTCTCAGCCATATGTGCATGCATGAATGTGTGTATTCATGTCTGTGCTTGAGTTTGTGCATTTGGAGTTGCTTATCACTGTATGTCAGGCAACGTAATGTTTCTTTTGTTTGTTTGTGTGTGTGCATGTGTGTTTGTGGAAGTGTGTGCATCTGCACTCATGTGTGTGTGGTATGTGTGTCTGTGTGAAAAGGTTATTTCTACATGTTAGTCTGTGAAGAAAGGTTATTTCTACATGTTAGTCTGTAAATAAAAGTCAATTCTACGTGTTTGTGAAGAAAGGTTATTTCTACATGTTAGTCTGTGAAGAAAGGTTATTTCTACATGTTAGTCTGTAAAGAAAGGTTATTTCTACATGTTAGTCTGTGAAGAAAGGTTATTTCTACATGTTAGTCTGTGAAGAAAGGTTATTTCTACATGTTAGTCTGTAAATAAAAGTCAATTCTACGTGTTAGTCTGTGAAGAAAGGTTATTTCTACATGTTAGTCTGTAAAGAAAGGTTATTTCTACATGTTAGTCTGTGAAGAAAGGTTATTTCTACATGTTAGTCTGTAAATAAAAGTCAATTCTACGTGTTAGTCTGTGAAGAAAGGTTATTTCTACATGTTAGTCTGTGAAGAAAGGTTATTTCTACATGTTAGTCGGTGAAGAAAGGTTATTTCTACATGTTACTGTGAAGAAAGGTTATTTCTACATGTTAGTCTGTGAAGAAAGGTTATTTCTACATGTTAGTTTGTGAAGAAAGGTTATATCTACATGTTAGTCTGTAAAGAAAGGTTATTTCTACATGTTAGTCTGTAAATAAAGGTTATTTCTACATGTTAGTCTGTGAAGAAAGGTTATTTCTCCATGATAGTCTGTGAAGAAAGGTTATTTCTACATGTTAGTCTGTGAAGAAAGGTTATTTCTACATGTTAGTCTGTGAAGAAAGGTTATTTCTACAATTTAGTCTGTGAAGAAAGGTTATTTCTACATGTTAGTCTCTGAAGAAAGGTTATTTCTACATGTTAGTCTTTGAAGAAAGGTTATTTCTACATGTTAGTCTGTAAATAAAAGTCAATTCTACGTGTTATTCTGTGAAGAAAAGTCAATTCTACATGTTAGTCTGTAAATAAAAGTAAATTCTACATGTTAGTTTGTGAAGAAAAGTCAATTCTACATGTTAGTCTGTAAATAAAAGTCAATTCTACATGTAAGTCTGTAAATAAAAGTCAATTCTACATGTTAGTCTGTGAAGAAAAGTCAATTCTACTTGTTAGTTTGTAAATAAAAGTCAATTCTACATGTTAGTCTGTGAAGAAAAGTCAATTCTAAATGTTAGTCTGTGAATAAAAGTCATTTCTACATGTTAATCTGTGAAGAAAAGTTATTTCTACATGTTAGTCTGTAAATAAAAATCAATTCTACATGTTAGTCTGTGAAGAAAAGTCAATTCTACATGTTAGACTGTGAATAAAAGTCAATTCTCCATGTTAGTCTGTGAATAAAAGTCAATTCTACATGTTAGTTTGTGAATAAAAGTCAATTCTACATGTTAGTATGTGGATAAAAGTTATTTCTACATGTTAGTCTGTAAATAAAAGTCAATTCTACATGTTAATCCATGAAGAAAAGTTATTTCTACATGTTAGTCTGTAAATAAAAGTCAATTCTCCATGTTAGTCTGTGACGAAAAGTCTATTCTACATGTTAGACTGTGAATAAAAGTCAATTCTACATGTTCATGTGTGAAGAAAAAATCAGTGTTGCCTGTTAGTGTGTGAAAAAAACTCAGTGTTTCATGTTAGCTGTGGAGAAACATCAAAGTTACATTCATGTTAGTAACAAAAACAAGGATGCCAGGTTGGCAGAGTTGGGCCTGAGTTACTGACAAGTTGTCATTTATTGATGATACAAGGAGCTGGCCAAGGTGTTGATGAACCACTGGGAAGAGCTGGAGAAAGCTTACGTGAGAAGCCTCAAGACTGTGTTCCGCAATATTCGTGATGAGAGGGAAACCATCTTTCGATATTTCTTCCAGATAAGGTAACTGTTTATTGTCACTAACCATCTCGGCTAGTAGCCATATTCTAGCTCAACTCAATTCAGTTTAGCTCAGATTGGCCATATTTTATTGACCAGACGTCTGCTGTACTTGTCCATTATCATTGCTGGTCGAGTTTCTTGTTCAGTGCTTGGTGACTTTGTGATTCTCCTTACTTCTGTTTCCTGAACTTTAGCGATGCCTTATGATTATGTTTAATGTTTTCCCCTTCTTCCAGGTATGTGGAGGTGCCTCAAGAGTTTTTTTTAGCCTTCCCTCTTTGACTGAGCTGGCTAGAGATATTTGAAATCTGATTTTTTCTTCACTTGATGATGCATTGGTACTTAACATTATTGTTCATTTTTCCACATCAGGGACTTCAACATTATTGTTCATTTTTCCACACCAGGGACTTCAACATTATTGTTCATTTTTCCACACCAGGGACTTCAACATTATTGTTCATTTTTCCACATCAGGGACTTCAACATTATTGTTCATTTTTCCACACCAGGGACTTCAACATTATTGTTCATTTTTCCACATCAGGGACTTCAACATTATTGTTCATTTTTCCACATCAGGGACTTCAACATTATTGTTCATTTTTCCACACCAGGGACTTCAACAATATTGTTCATTTTTCACATCAGGGACTTCAACATTATTGTTCATTTTTCCACATCAGGGACTTCAACATTATTGTTCATTTTTCCACATCAGGGACTTCAACATGAAGAAAATGGGGAAGGGGGCCTGATCTTGTGAAGAAAATATTTGTGCAGATAACAACAGGATGCAGAAAACCTGACTCATCTATCACCAGGGATAAAGACCACTTAGCATCTAAAAGTAGTAATGATCCACGAGTGTGACTCCGGTTCTTTCTAGACTGCTTCCATTTATCTTCCAGTTCCACCTCTGCTGTCTGCCAAACTAATCTACCATGCCTAATGAGTGTACACCATTCAGATCAGTCTTGTGCAACAGATTTTCTTTCTTTCTCAGTTTCCAAACATGTGTGAGCTGTCTTAAGAGAGTCTTACAGCGTATATTTGTTGTCCACCTGGTGATCTTTTTCCCTGCTGTAAAATATTCTTTTTTGGAAGCCTCAGATCTGGCTTGTGAACCAGGTGACCAGCTCAAGGGATCTTCAGTAGTGTGCGGATGCTTGCCATGTTTGTCCTGTCAGAGCTAGAGGACTTGGCTAGTCAGGAGGAGACAACACTCACAGTGTACTTCCTCTCAAGTAAAACTCAGCTCTAGATATAAACAACTAGCAAACCATAATGGGAGAAAAGGTGAAAGGTGAAGAAGTTTGATAGCATCAGTGTTATAAATGTCCACACAACATCAAAATGTGGCCAGGATACAGCCTGGCACATTGTGCAATAACAGCATAGGACGGAAACTTCTGGAGAACCATAACTATCACCTGTTGCCATAGAGACAGTGATGGGTAATGTTGATGATGATGAGAGGTGTGTCACAGAGATAAACTGTTTTCTGTCTGCATCATTCAGTGACAGTTGAGAGAATGCCCACTTACACTGCACTTTGAAAGTTCAACAAAAGGGCACACAGGGACAGATTGAAAGCTAGGTTTAGATATTCTAGAGATGCTAAGTCTTGCGAAATCCTTTCATGAAATCATGCAGTGGAACTATTGTTAGACGGCTCAATATCTCAGCCATTCAGCTTCAGTAGAGTGGATCAGCTCTGCCTGCTTTCTCATACCATTTTTGTTGTCTTTGAGACTGCGACTGAAGACATATACCTCCATCTAAGATCTAATGGCAGACACTTTAAGCCATCAATGCTCAAAGTGAAGACCAGAATAAAATAAAAATGCATAAGAGAATTACTTGTTGCAGACAATGCAGCACTGATTACCCATACAGTAGAAGGCTTGCAGTGGCTCATAGATCACTTCCTCTGCAGCAACTGTGGACTGACCATCAGCCGAACGCCTGTAGTGGCTCATATATCACTTCATCTGCAGCAACTGTGGACTGACCATCAGCCGAAGGCCTGTAGTGGCTCATAGATCACTTCATCTGCAGAAACTGTGGACTGACCATCAGCCGAAGGCCTGTAGTGGCTCATAGATCACTTCATCTGCAGAAACTATGGACTGACCATCAGCCGAAGGCCTGTAGTGGCTCATAGATCACTTCCTCTGCAGCAACTGTGGACTGACCATCAGCCGAAGGCCTGTAGTGGCTCATAGATCACTTCATCTGCAGAAACTGTGGACTGACCATACAGTAGAAGGCCTGTAGTGGCTCATAGATCACTTCCTCTGCAGCAACTATGGACTGACCATCAGCCGAAGGCCTGTAGTGGCTCAAAGATCACTTCATCTGCAGAAACTGTGGACTGACCATACAGTAGAAGGCCTGTAGTGGCTCATAGATCACTTCATCTGCAGCAACTGTGGACTGACCATCAGCCGAAGGCCTGTAGTGGCTCATAGATCACTTCATCTGCAGCAACTGTGGACTGACCATCAACCGAAGGCTTGCAGTGGCTCATAGATCACTTCATCTGCAGAAACTGTGGACTGACCATCAGCCGAAGGCTTGCAGTGGCTCATAGATCACTTCCTCTGCAGCAACTGTGGACTGACCATCAGCCGAAGGCCTGTAGTGGCTCATAGATCACTTCATCTGCAGAAACTGTGGACTGACCATACAGTAGAAGGCCTGTAGGGGCTCATAGATCACTTCATCTGCAGCAACTGTGGACTGACCATCAGCCGAAGGCTTGCAGTGGCTCATAGATCACTTCATCTGCAGAAACTGTGGAGTGACCATCAGCCGAAGGCCTGTAGTGGCTCATAGATCACTTCATCTGCAGAAACTGTGTACTGACCATCAGCCAAAGGCCTGTAGTGGCTCATAGATCACTTCATCTGCAGAAACTGTGTACTGACCATACAGTAGAAGGCCTGTAGTGGCTCATAGATCACTTCATCTGCAGAAACTGTGGACTGACCATCAGCCGAAGCCAGATTTAAACTTGATGAGACTCTAAACTTTATAAAGCCCCCGAGGCCTCTACCATTTATGACACCAGCTAATCTCAGAGAAACAAACTGTTTCAAATACACAGGCCTATGCCTTGTAAACTTCTGGATCATGGAAATGTTGTGTCGCTGGATTTGTATTCAAAGCAATACTCAAGTGTGTGATTGCACAATCACAGAAATGGTTTTAAATAATCCTCTGAAAGGCTTTTTATTACAATTAAAAACATTTGTCTGCTTGATTTCCCAAATCCAAAATTATTGATTATGATGTACAGCAAGCTTATATTTGATTTCAACTGAAATAGGCAACCAGTTTGAATAAATAAAATATGTGTGCACGCACATACACACACACACATATTCGAAAATTTCAGGTGGGTGGAAGAGGGTTGGGAATTACACATATATATTATTTCAAATATATTATTTCAAATTTATTATTTCAAAGATAATATTTCAAATATATTATTTCAAATTTATTATTTCAACTATATTATTTCAACTATATTATTTCAAATATATATTATTTCATATATATTATTTCAAATTTATTATTTTAAATTTATTATTCCAAATATATTTCAAATATATTATTTCATATATATTATTTCATATATATTATTTCAAATATAATATTTCAAATATATTATTTCAAATGTATTATTTCAAACATAATATTTCAAATTCATTATTTCCAATATAATATTTCAAATATATTATTTCAATTATATTAAAGGGAGGTTGTGTTTGTGAGACAATAGGACATTGTTTAGGCGCCTGCAGACTGTGAAGCTCGAAGCTGTAGCTAGTGTATTTAGTTGATGCTTTGATCCAGCACTGCCATTAGCCTCAACAAAACATGTGTGATGGGACAAGACGCTGGTGCTCCTCCAGCATTCAACAAAACACATGTGATGGGACAATACACTGGTGCTCCTCCAGCATTCAACAAAACACATGTGATGGGACAATACACTGGTGCTCCTCCAGCATTCAACATAACACATGTGTTGGGACAATACACTGGTGCTCCTCCAGCATTCAACATAACACATGTGATGGGACAATACACTGGTGTTCCTCCAACATTCAACAAAACACATGTGATGGGACAATACACTGGTGCTCCTCCAGCATTCAACATAACACATGTGATGGGACAATACACTGGTGCTCCTCCAACATTCAACATAACACATGTGATGGGACAATACACTGGTGCTCCTCCAACATTCAACAAAACACATGTGATGGGACAATACACTGGTGCTCCTCCAGCATTCAACATAACACATGTGATGGGACAAGACACTGGTGCTCCTCCAGCAATGAACAAAACACATGTGATGGGACAATACACTGGTGCTCCTCCAGCATTTAACAAAACACATGTGATGGGACAATACACTGGTGCTCCTCCAGCATTCAACAAAACACATGTGATGGGACAATACACTGGTGCTCCTCCAACATTCAACATAACACATGTGATGGGACAATACACTGGTGCTCCTCCAACATTCAACATAACACATGTGATGGGACAAGACACTGGTGCTCCTCCAACATTCAACAAAACACATGTGATGGGACAAGACACTGGTGCTCCTCCAACATTCAACAAAACACATGTGATGGGACAAGACACTGGTGCTCCTCCAACATTCAACAAAACACATGTGATGGGACAAGACACTGGTGCTCCTCCAACATTCAACAAAACACATGTGATGGGACAAGACGCTAGTGCTCCTCCAACATTCAACAAAACACATGTGATGGGACAAGACGCTAGTGTTCCTCCAACATTCAACATAACACATGTGATGGGACAAGACACTGGTGTTCCTCCAGCATTCAACATAACACATGTGTTGGGACAAGACACTGGTGTTCCTCCAACATTCAACATAACACATGTGATGGGACAAGATGCTGGTGCTCCTCCAGCATTCAACAAAACACATGTGATGGGACAAGATGCTGGTGCTCCTCCAGCATTCAACAAAACACATGTGTTGGGACAAGACACTGGTGCTCCTCCAGCATTCAACAAAACACATGTGATGGGACAATACACTGGTGCTCCTCCAACATTCAACATAACACATGTGATGGGACAATACACTGGTGTTCCTCCAACATTCAACAAAACACATGTGATGGGACAATACACTGGTGCTCCTCCAGCATTCAACATAACACATGTGATGGGACAAGACACTGGTGCTCCTCCAGCATTCAACAAAACACATGTGTTGGGACAAGACACTGGTGCTCCTCCAGCATTCAACAAAACACATGTGTTGGGAAAAGACACTGGTGCTCCTCCAGCATTCAACAAAACACATGTGTGATGGGACAAGACGCTGGTGTTCCTCCAGCATTCAACATAACACATGTGATGGGACAATACACTGGTGTTCCTCCAACATTCAACATAACACATGTGATGGGACAATACACTGGTGTTCCTCCAGCATTCAACATAACACATGTGATGGGACAAGACGCTGGTGCTCCTCCAACATTCAACAAAACACATGTGATGGGACAAGACACTGGTGTTCCTCCAACATTCAACAAAACATATGTGATGGGACAAGATGCTGGTGCTCCTCCAGCATTCAACAAAACACATGTGTTGGGACAAGACACTGGTGCTCCTCCAGCATTCAACAAAACACATGTGTTGGGACAAGACACTGGTGCTCCTCCAGCATTCAACAAAACACATGTGTGATGGGACAAGACGCTGGTGTTCCTCCAGCATTCAACATAACACATGTGATGGGACAATACACTGGTGTTCCTCCAACATTCAACATAACACATGTGATGGGACAATACACTGGTGTTCCTCCAGCATTCAACATAACACATGTGATGGGACAAGACGCTGGTGCTCCTCCAGCATTCAACATAACACATGTGTTGGGACAAGACACTGGTGTTCCTCCAACATTCAACATAACACATGTGTTGGGACAAGATGCTGGTGCTCCTCCAGCAATCAGAATTGTTCATTACAAACTGAAGGTATCAGAGAGTTTGTCCACCTTTCATTAGAGGCATTATTGAACATGAGTGGCCACAACACTTCCCAGGCTAGCTAAGAGTGTCTGTGAGAACAACAGACTAATAGAGCGGACACAAGTGTTCATGTCTGTAAAGCTGGCTTGTTGAGCGCACGTCTCTGCAAATATGAATCCTGAACCTTGTAAACAACAGGAAAGATTGTTGAACTTCTTCCATATGAGATGTCTGTGTCACCTCAGCAATTCTTGAAAGGAACCACATAACTATCATACAAGTGTTTGAAAGAGCAGATGCTACCACAGTGCACTTTCTTCTCAAGAGGAAAAGTGTTTAGTGGCTTTGTGGTTTTTGTTGAGTGAAGAATGAACTTATTCCCAAGATCTCATTTACAGTCAGTCAGTCAGTCAGTCAGTCAGTCAGTCAGTCAGTCAGTCAGTCAGTCAGTCACAGGACAGGGCCCAAACAGAAGACTGCAGATGTTTAAGTAACAGGATATACAAACCTTTGGCATAGATAAAGAAAAAATCTGAGAGGGTTACAGCAGACACACCGAGGACAAGAGAAACAAAATGAAGTTCTTTGCTGTGTGACCTGCCTCAGGTTGTGGATGTGGAAACTGTTGTAGAGATTTCCACTCTCGCAGGGGACTATTTAGTTAGCAGTGACAGGGGTCTACCATCGGCACAACTCTGCAGTCCTGCAGGACAGAAAAGAGATCTCCTATTGGGTAGTAAAGATCATAAAGAAAATATCAGACAGGCATACAGACAGGCAGAAAGACAGGCAGGCAGGTAGGTCGATAGATACTAAGGTCGGGGACAGTTTAGGAGGCAGAAAATCAAAAATAAATGCAGCAGAAACATCTGAAACAAATGACTAAAGATAAAGATGATAATTCTGCTCCTCTGACAGAAAAGATTTCATCCAGTATCTAATGAAGCCAGACTGCAAGCAGGAGTACATCACCCAGTGGCAGAAGGTAGCATTGATGTTTTCTTCATTCTGTGTGATGTCTGCATCCTCCTCCATTCCCTATTTGATGTGTTTATTCTTCTGATTGATGTTTTCTTTATTCTGTGTGATGTCTGCATCCTCCTCCATTCCCTATTTGATGTGTATACTCTTCTTCATGGTCATCATCATCATCATTGTCACTGACAATAATAACCATAATCCTTAAAGATTGTCTTTATCATTAGCAGGAACATTTGTATTTACTAATGTAGGAAAGTGACAGGAATTCATTGCTGCAATACCGTGTGAAGATTAGAGACGTGCAATAGGAGCTAGTTTCTATCTACTCAAATACTACTAGTAGAATTACTGGAGAGGCTAATGTGGCCAGCAAATACCTGACAGATGACAGAGCCAAATATTTTAGCTGAATATGGAAAACACTGCAACTCTGCCATAGGCACAGCACAATTACACCGCAACTCTGCCGTAGGCACAGGACAATTACACTGCAACTCTGCCATAGGCACAGCACAATTACACTGCAACTCTGCCATAGGCACAGCACAATTACACTGCAACTCTGCCATAGGCACAGCACAATTACACTGCATCTCTGCTGAAGGCACAGGACAATTACACTGCAACTCTGCCGTAGTCACAGGACAATTACACTGCAACTCTGCCATAGGCACAGCACAATTACACTGCAACTCTGCCGTAGGCACAGGACATTTACACTGCAACAAAAATACTGATTAGCGGCTGACCTTTATGTAAAGTAAACTACTAGAGTAATATCTTTATCATTACAGGTTTAGGAAGGCGCCAAAAATTTGTTCTAGGCTTTTGTGTTATCATCTCTGGAAGTGTTCTAGGCTTGTGTTTGTGTTATCATCTCTGGAAGTGTTCTAGGCTTTTGTTTGTGTTATCATCTCTGGAAGTGTTCTAGGCTTTTGTTTGTGTTATCATCTCTGGAAGTGTTCTAGGCTTGTGTTTGTGTTATCATCTCTGGAAGTGTTCTAGGCTTTTGTTTGTGTTATCATCTCTGGAAGTGTTTTAGGCTTTTGTTTGTGTTATCATCTCTGGAAGTGTTCTAGGCTTTTGTTTGTGTTATCATCTCTGGAAGTGTTTTAGGCTTTTGTTTGTGTTATCATCTCTGGAAGTGTTTTAGGCTTTTGTTTGTGTTATCATCTCTGGAAGTGTTCTAGGCTTTTGTTTGTGTTATCATCTCTGGAAGTGTTTTAGGCTTTTGTTTGTGTTATCATCTCTGGAAGTGTTCTAGGCTTTTGTTTGTGTTATCATCTCTGGAAGTGTTCTAGGCTTTTGTTTGTGTTATCATCTCTGGAAGTGTTCTAGGCTTGTGTTTGTGTTATCATCTCTGGAAGTGTTCTAGGCTTGTGTTTGTGTTATCATCTCTGGAAGTGTTCTAGGCTTTTGTTTGTGTTATCATCTCTGGAAGTGTTCTAGGCTTGTGTTTGTGTTATCATCTCTGGAAGTGTTCTAGGGTTTTGTTTGTGTTATCATCTCTGGAAGTGTTTTAGGCTTTTGTTTGTGTTATCATCTCTGGAAGTGTTCTAGGCTTTTGTTTGTGTTATCATCTCTGGAAGTGTTCTAAGCTTTTGTTTGTGTTATCATCTCTGAAAGTAAGGCAAAGGCAGAATGGAGGCCTCTGGGACTAGTGTTGATGTTCTTTGATTGGTTGACATCCATAAAACAACATGGCAGCTGTTCTGTCATAAAATTTAGTAACTAACCACTGGTCAGCATCTGAGCACATCTATGTTGAGCACATCTGTATTGAGCACATCTATGTTGAGCACATCCATGTTGAGCACATCTGTATTGAGCACATCTATGTTGAGCACATCTATGTTGAGCACATCTGTATTGAGCACATCTATGTTGAGCACATCTGTGTTGAGCACATCTATGTTGAGCACATCTATGTTGAGCACATCTATGTTGAGCACATCTATGTTGAGCACATCTATGTTGAGCACATCTATGTTGAGCACATCTGTGTTGAGCACATCTATGTTGAGCACATCTGTGTTGAGCACATCCATGTTGAGCACATCCGTGTTGAGCACATCTATGTTGAGCACATCTATGTTGAGCACATCTGTGTTGAGCACATCTATGTTGAGCACATCTATGTTGAGCACATCTGTGTTGAGCACATCTGTATTGAGCACATCTATGTTGAGCACATCTATGTTGAGCACATCTATGTTGAGCACATCTATGTTGAGCACATCTATGTTGAGCACATCTATGTTGAATTGTGTCAACTTGTGTTGTTTATTTATTTACATTTCCTGATCTGACCAGTTCTGTCTTGTTCCCATTGTGTGTAGACATACAATGAAGCTGCAGATGATCTGACCAGTTCTGTCTTGTTCCCATTGTGTGTAGACATACAATGAAGCTGCAGATGATCTGACCAGTTCTGTCTTGTTCCCATTGTGTGTAGACATACAATGAAGCTGCAGATGATCTGACCAGTTCTGTCTTGTTCCCATTGTGTGTAGACATACAATGAAGCTGCAGATGATCTGACCAGTTCTGTCTTGTTCCCATTGTGTGTAGACATACAGTGAAGCTGCAGATGATCTGACCAGTTCTGTCTTGTTCCCATTGTGTGTAGACATACAGTGAAGCTGCAGATGATCTGACCAGTTTTTTCTTGTTCCCATTGTGTGTAGACATACAATGAAGCTGCAGATGATCTGACCAGTTGTTTCTTGTTCCCATTGTGTGTAGACATACAATGAAGTTCCAGATGATCTGAGAGATGACGAAGAGATGAAAGCTGAGCTGCATCAGCAGGTGGATGATCTGGTTGACCGACTCTGGAGCATCTGTGATGAGAGGAAAGAGGCGGCAGAAAATGAGAGACTGATGATCATGAAGGACGGATGGTTGGACGATCATTTAGGTATACTTACCAACCACTACCTGACTGTAATGCAGGTAAGTCTCCCTCTGGTAGAATGAATGTTACATGTGTGTTGTAAATGTTCTGCACTCTCGGGATAAATTTTAACCCTGCCAGACCTGAGACCCTGAACCTAACAACCCTCTATACCTGAGCTCCTGGGCATTAACGTGAAAAAACCAACATGATATACACAATTATTAGCTACATGCAAACAAGCGGTTAGAATATGTTTAAACTTGGAGATATTGTAGAAAATAACACAGTGAGACTTCTGAAAGATTACTACCGAGGGATGCAAGGGCTCATCCCAGAAACTCCTCGCCTTGACTACGAAAGAGTTCCTCTAGTCGAGGTTTGCCATTTATGTTTATATTTTGCATGATTTATTTTGCAAGTATTTCAGATCATATTTTGACTTTTTAATTTGTTATTTATTTCTGATAAATGTTTGTCTTATTTACTTTGCAATAAAGAAATGTGACAATAGCTTACCCTTAAACATGAATTTTTATATTAACACTGCTAGTGAGAGAAAAGAATTTAGCACAACTGGAAAACATAACCACATATTTAAATGATTAAAATATTTAGATAAACTCTCAGGCTTTCTGAAGGTTATTGTGTTCTCACTTCAGCTGCCGTTTGAGAAGGCAGAGACCGGACAGAGTGATGCCTCGCTGGTCGACGAAGAGAAACTTACAGAAAGAGGTACAGTTAATCACCAATGGGTGTGAGAGAGTCAGTCATGTGTGAACAGTTCTACTGAGAGTCGTGTGAACAGTTCTACTCAGAGTCAGTGTTGTGTGAACAGTTCTACTGAGAGTCAGTGTTGTGTGAACAGTTCTACTGAGAGTCAGTATTGTGTGAACAGTTCTACTGAGAGTTAGTGTTGTGTGAACAGTTCTACTGAGAGTCAGTGTTGTGTGAACAGTTCTACTGAGTCAGTGTTGTGTGAACAGTTCTGCTGAGAGTCAATGTTGTGTGAACAGTTCTACTGATAGTCAGTGTTGTGTGAACAGTTCTGCTGAGAGCCAGTGTTGTGTGAACAGTTCAACTGAGAGTCAGTGTTGTGTGAGCAGTTCTACTGAGAGTTGGTGTTGTGTGAACAGTTCTACTGAGAGTTGGTGTTGTGTGAACAGTTCTACTGAGAGTTGGTGTTGTGTGAACAGTTCTACTGAGAGCCTGGGTTGTGTGAACAGTTCTGCTGAGAGCCAGTGTTGTGTGAACAGTTCTGCTGAGTGTCAGTGTTGTGTGAACAGTTCTACTGAGAGTCAGTGTTGTGTGAACAGTTCTACTGAGAGTGGATGTTGTGTGAACAGTTCTACTGATAGTCAGTGTTGTGTGAACAGTTCTGCTGAGAGCCAGTGTTGTGTGAACAGTTCAACTGAGAGTCAGTGTTGTGTGAGCAGTTCTACTGAGAGTTGGTGTTGTGTGAACAGTTCTACTGAGAGTTGGTGTTGTGTGAACAGTTCTACTGAGAGTTGGTGTTGTGTGAACAGTTCTACTGAGAGCCTGGGTTGTGTGAACAGTTCTGCTGAGAGCCAGTGTTGTGTGAACAGTTCTGCTGAGTGTCAGTGTTGTGTGAACAGTTCTACTGAGAGTCAGTGTTGTGTGAACAGTTCTACTGAGAGTGGATGTTGTGTGAACAGTTCTACTGAGAGTCAGTGTTGTGTGAACAGTTCTACTGAGAGTGGATGTTGTGTGAACAGTTCTACTGAGAGTCAGTGTTGTGTGAACAGTTCTACTGAGAGTGGATGTTGTGTGAACAGTTCTGCTGAGAGTCAGTGTTGTGTGAACAGTTCTACTGAGAGTCTGTGTTGTGTGAACAGTTCTGCTGAGAGCAGTGTTGTGTGAACAGTTCTGCTGAGAGTCGGTGTTGTGTGAACAGTTCTGCTGAGAGTCAGTGTTGTGTGAACAGTTCTGCTGAGTTTCAGTGTTGTGTGAACAGTTCTACTGAGAGTCAGTGTTGTGTGAACAGTTTTGTGTTGTGATCAGAAGTACTGAATACAACATAAAATGTGACTGGAAAGCTAAATGAAGGGAATAGAAAAGACACACACATGAGTGTTGTTTCCTGCTTTAGTTAATAAATATCTTCCTTGATTAACTCTAACAGCAGGAAAGTGTGCATCCAAGTCTCCCAGAATTATTGTTTCCTGCTTAGGTTAATACATGTCTCCTTTGATTAACTCCAACAACAGGAGAGTGGGCATCCATGTCTCCAAGAGTTGTTGTTTCCTGCATTAGTTAATACATGTCTCCTTTGATTAACTCCAACAACAGGAGAGCGGGCATCCAAGTCTCCCAGAGTTGTTGTTTCCTGCATTAGTTAATACATGTCTCTTTTGATTAACTCCAACAACAGGAGAGCGGGCATCCAAGTCTCCCAGAATTATTGTTTCCTGCTTAGGTTAATACATGTCTCCTTTGATTAACTCCAACAACAGGAGAGCGTGCATCCAAGTCTCCCAGACAGTCTCCAAAAGAAACCAAGTCTGTTACAAGCAAGAAGAAATCCAATGAGCCTGAGGCTGAGAAAGCAGAGGAGCAAAGCACTGAAGGTCTCGGACACAGGGTTATGTAAGTGTACAAAAAACATGTCTTTTTATATGTATGATCGGCAAGAATGTTAACATTTATCTATCATTTATCTATAATCATGTTTGATGAGATGCGTGTTTTACTTGTCTATGTGCAACAGTGTTTCTGTGAGACATGTCTGGCATACCTGCCTGCATATGTGAGTGCCTGCATATGTGAGTGCCTGCATATGTGAGTGCCTGCATATGTGAGTGCCTGCATATGTGAGTGCCTGCATATGTGAGTGCCTGCATATGTGAGTGCCTGCATACATGGGTGCCTGCAACAGTGTTTTCTTTGAGACTTGTCTATGATAACATACAAACACATCTGCCTTCATACATGAGTGCCTGCATATGTAAGTGCCTGCAATAGTGCTTTCTGTAAGACGTGATTGTAGTTACATACAAACACACTTGCATTCATGCATGAGTGCCTTCATAGGGGAATGCCTTTATAGTGACTGCCTCCATATGTGAGTGCATGCGTGCGTGAACGCCTTAATACATAAGTACCTAAAGCTCTTCTCCCTCTGTGGCACAGCATTGATTTCCTTCTGATAAAGTGCACATTGTTTTGTTACGGCAGGTGTTCTAGTGACATGACCTACTTTCCTGTGTGTCCTAGTGTAGAGAAGTCAAGAAAGCACACATTGTTTTGTTACGGCAGGTGTTCTAGTGACATGACCTACTTTCCTGTGTGTCCTAGTGTAGAGAAGTCAAGAAAGCACACATTGTTTTGTTACGGCAGGTGTTCTAGTGACATGACCTACTTTCCTGTGTGTCATAGAGTAGAGAAGTCAAGAAAGCACACATTGTTTTTTTACAGCAGGTGTTCTAGTGACATGACCTACTTTCCTGTGTGTCCTAGTGTAGAGAAGACAAGAAAGCTTGTGACATGACCTACTTTCCTGTGTGTCCTAGTGTAGAGAAGACAAGAAAGCACACATTGTTTTGTTACGGCAGGTGTTCTAGTGACATGACCTACTTTCCTGTGTGTCATAGAGTAGAGAAGTCAAGAAAGCACACATTGTTTTTTTAGGGCAGGTGTTCTAGTAACATGACCTACTTTCCTGTGTGTCCTAGTGTAGAGAAGTCAAGAAAGCACACATTGTTTTGTTACGGCAGGTGTTCTAGTGACATGACCTACTTTCCTGTGTGTCCTAGTGTAGAGAAGTCAAGAAAGCACACATTGTTTTGTTACGGCAGGTGTTCTAGTAACATGACCTACTTTCCTGTGTGTCCTAGTGTAGAGAAGTCAAGAAAGCACACATTGTTTTTTTACAGCAGGTGTTCTAGTGACATGACCTACTTTCCTGTGTGTCCTAGTGTAGAGAAGTCAAGAAAGCACACATTGTTTTGTTACGGCAGGTGTTCTAGTGACATGACCTACTTTCCTGTGTGTCCTAGTGTAGAGAAGTCAAGAAAGCACACATTGTTTTGTTACGGCAGGTGTTCTAGTGACATGACCTACTTTCCTGTGTGTCCTAGTGTAGAGAAGTGAAGAAAGCACACATTGTTTTGTTACGGCAGGTGTTCTAGTGACATGACCTACTTTCCTGTGTGTCCTAGTGTAGAGAAGTCAAGAAAGCACACATTGTTTTGTTACGGCAGGTGTTCTAGTGACATGACCTACTTTCCTGTGTGTCATAGAGTAGAGAAGACAAGAAAGCTTGTGACATGACCTACTTTCCTGTGTATCCTAGTGTAGAGAAGTCAAGAAAGCACACATTGTTTTTTTACAGCAGGTGTTCTAGTGACATGACCTACTTTCCTGTGTGTCCTAGTGTAGAGAAGTCAAGAAAGCACACATTGTTTTGTTACGGCAGGTGTTCTAGTGACATGACCTACTTTCCTGTGTGTCCTAGTGTAGAGAAGTCAAGAAAGCACACATTGTTTTGTTACGGCAGGTGTTCTAGTGACATGACCTACTTTCCTGTGTGTCCTAGTGTAGAGAAGTCAAGAAAGCACACATTGTTTTGTTACGGCAGGTGTTCTAGTGACATGACCTACTTTCCTGTGTGTCCTAGTGTAGAGAAGTCAAGAAAGCACACATTGTTTTTTTACAGCAGGTGTTCTAGTGACATGACCTACTTTCCTGTGTGTCCTAGTGTAGAGAAGTCAAGAAAGCACACATTGTTTTGTTACGGCAGGTGTTCTAGTGACATGACCTACTTTCCTGTGTGTCCTAGTGTAGAGAAGTCAAGAAAGCACACATTGTTTTGTTACGGCAGGTGTTCTAGTGACATGACCTACTTTCCTGTGTGTCCTAGTGTAGAGAAGTCAAGAAAGCACACATTGTTTTGTTACAGCAGGTGTTCTAGTGACATGACCTACTTTCCTGTGTGTCCTAGTGTAGAGAAGTCAAGAAAGCACACATTGTTTTGTTACGGCAGGTGTTCTAGTGACATGACCTACTTTCCTGTGTATCCTAGTGTAGAGAAGACAAGAAAGCACACATTGTTTTGTTACGGCAGGTGTTCTAGTGACATGACCTACTTTCCTGTGTGTCCTAATGTAGAGAAGACAAGAAAGCACACATTGTTTTGTTACGGCAGGTGTTCTAGTGACATGACCTACTTTCCTGAGTGTCATAGTGTAGAGAAGACAAGAAAGCACACATGTTTTCATTAACTAGGCTACAGAATATTGCCTTTACATTTATCATAGCCTAAAACAACTACTCTAATGGTATTATTGGCTTTAACAATTTGCTGTATCATAATCTAAGACATTTACTGTTTTTGCCTTCAATAATGCTTGTCTCAGAATCATTACCGTAGACAACCATAACAAATCTCCATCACAATTTGAAAACCACCTTATCTGTATCACATTGTAGACAGTGACCTTGAAATTGTCATAATTTAAGATATTCACTGTGACGTAATTTTCGTCCATCCATTCCCAGCATTCCTCTGGTTCCTCGGCATGGTTCTGCCGAAAAAATTAGTGGCAGAGAAAGCAGGGATAAACTAAATGTCAGAAAAGGAAAAGATGAACAGGACAGCATGCTTCTGCCACTGGATCCAGACAAACGGCAAATATATAATGGTTATAATTTTGCTGTTGGTGCAATCAACGATATTGTAAGTACTCAAAGATTAACATTTTTTTTTTTCATATCATAATATCTTAAAGAAAAAGTTTACAGTCAAACTGTCTACTGCTGCACCTTAGACAAACTTTGAAGTGAAATACTAAATGTGTACTGCTACACCTTAGACAAACTTTGAAGTGAAATACTAAATGTGTACTGCAGAAATGCACCACACAGGATAACAGTTTTATATCTTCAAGTAAATGATGGCACTAGGGAAGTCATCAGAAGCAAAAATGTTCCGACTGAAGTCATCCTGGTGAGAATAGAAACCAGGTTCCATCTCTGTCATATATTTTGTGTACAGTTTCGGAATGTCACTGCCTGGTTTAGAGCATAGAGAACCAATCAATAATCCATTTTTAGAGACAACATATACAAACCTGCACCAGTGGTTAAACTACCACATTATCTTTCACACCAACTGTCACATCATCTGTCACATTAACTGTCACATCATCTGTCACATTAACTGTCACATCATCTGTCACACCAGCTGTCACATCAATTGTCACATCAGCTGTCACATCAGCTGTCACATCAGCTGTCACACCAACTGTCACATCATCTGTCACAACAGCTGTCACACCAACTGTCACATCATCTGTCACAACAGCTGTCACATCAACTGTCACATCAACTGTCACATCAGCTGTCACACCAGCTGTCACATTAGTTTTCACATTAGTTGTCACACCAGCTGTCACATCAGCTGTCACACCAGCTGTCACATCAGCTGTCACATCAACTGTCACATCAGCTGTCTCATCAACTGTCACACCAGCTGTCACATCAGCTGTCACATCAGCTGTCACATCAACTGTCACATCAGCTGTCTCATCAACTGTCACACCAGCTGTCACATCAGCTGTTACATGAGCTGTCACAGCACCTGTCACATCAGCTGTCACACCAGTTAGTCTTTCAGTGCATGGATTCTTTGTTTATTCTCTTGCACTGTCCACCTGAGCCCAGAAAAACCTTCACTTGTTCTGCCTTATCATAAAGTAGTTTACCAGTAAGAGGAGCAGCAGCAGCCAGTATATTAGCCCGCTCATCAACTGTCACACCAACTGTCACATCAGCTGTCACATGAGCTGTCACATCAGCTGTCACATCGACTGTCACAGCACCTGTCACATCGACTGTCACATCAACTGTCAATAAATAAACAAGCCATCAACTAATAAGTTGTGCTAGTAAAATACTCTTGCAGATCATCATGAAGAGAAAGAAAAGAATGTTCAGATAGTAATGACCAGATGTGACGGCCAGCAGAGTGCCTGTTTTGAAAATGCAGGAATTACGGTTGATATTTTCTGACTTGTCTCCTTGACTACAGTAATATCTTTGATTGATTTCATCATCAGATGTTATTGGACATACATCTTGAGAAAAATCAACTTTTAGAAATATGATCCATTGAATTAAAACATTGTAAATCAAACAAAAGGGAGTTGTCAGGGAAGCTGGTGAAAGAACAAACAAGTCTGGTGTGTTAAGGGAAGTAAGACTAGTCAGCATTCTGTCATCATTTAACACTTTGCATCATTACACTCTAGACATTTCCACATGTGCTCCGTCTCTTTACTCAGTAACCAATGAAGAGGTTTAGGTTTAGACGACGGATCAACTTCATGGCACAAACGTAGTAATTCATAAGTGCTCTGTTCTACTTCTGGCTCAAGCCTGAGTCTGAAGAATCTCAGCACAATGCATGAACTCTGTAGTTCCGGCCAGGATCCCGAAATACTTCAGGTAGATTTTAAACTCCAAATTTTGCACAGGCAGCGCTGTTAAGCTACTCTTTTCAATTTCCAACTGCCAAGAGATTTTTTACATGCCATAAGTACACTCGGGCGTTTGGTCTTACTACCCAGGGACCAAGAAAAATTACTAGAAGTCCATGTGAAAAAATCTCAGCCTCCACCGGGGCTTGAACGCGGGACCTCCAGCACTCGAGACGGATGCCATGCCTCGATACCACGCAGCACTGAATCACTGAGGAGTCGACTCCGACTGTCAGCCAGTGAGGATTCAACATGTTAATAATGGCAACTGCAACCTGAAGCCTTTGCTTCACCAATTGGCCTTGAATATTTTCCAAAACTGTTCCACTCCACTTCACCTTTTCCCTGTTGAATTAGTTTTTCAGTGCAGTAGAAAAATGAAACAGTTCTCTGCTGCCCAGACTTCACAACTGTAATACATATATTTCATGTTACCACTGAAGCAGCAATGGAGTTATATTAGGACCTTTTCTGTTCAGGTAAACGCAGAAATGGCAATCAAAGAAGCTGAGGATGAAGCAGAACACCAGAAAGACATTGATAAGGATAAAGAGAGAGCAGCAAAGAAGGGTGGCAAAGGAGTTAAAAGAACTAGCAGTCCATCAACGAAGAAAAGGAATAGCAGAGTGAGAGAACAAGAGGAGTCTGTGTCCCAAATACAAGGTAGACCCAGGACATTCAGAAGTAGATTTATCCTGTTTTTGTTTTATTTTTCTCATTGTGGTAGCATAACTATATGAACTGTTTATTTATACTTTTCTTATTGTAGTAGCATAACTATATGTACTGTTTATTTATACTTTTCTCATTGTGGTAGCATAACTATATGAACTGTTTATTTATACTTTTCTTATTGTAGTAGCATAACTATATGTACTGTTTATTTATACTTTTCTCATAGTGGTAGCACACAAAAATCTACTGTTTATGTTATACATTTTTTATTGTGTTGGCATAACAAAATGTACTGTTTATGTTGTACTTTTTCATTGTGGTGGCATAACAAAATGTACTGTTTATGTTATACTTTTTTCATTGTGGTGGCATAACAATATGTACTGTTTATGTTGTACTTTTTCATTGTGGTGGCATAACAATATGTACTGTTTATGTTGTACTTTTTCATTGTGGTGGCATAACAATATGTACTGTTTATGTTTTACTTTTTAATTGTGAGGGCATAAAATTATGTACTTCACTTGCTTACTAAATTTTTATACATCATAATTACCTTTCACTGCACTTTGTAATGGCTAAATAGTTCAAATGTCCAGTGTGGTTTTACAAATACTAAAACAATGAATAGGTAAACCAGTAACGCACACAATGAGAGACATTGGGCTTTCGTTATAATACTTGAAGTTTATGTCATGAATGCAGTAAAAACTGGAAATCAATATCAGACTGGAATGACCAGCCGTCTCATGCTATTGGAAATCAACATCAGACTGGAATGACCAGCTGTCTCATGCTATTGGAAATCAACATCAGACTGGAATGACCAGCCGTCTCATGCTATTGGAAATCAATATCAGACTGGAATGACCAGCCGTCTCATGCTATTGGAAATCAACATCAGACTGGAATGATTAGCCGCCTCATGATATTGGAAATCAACATCAGACTGGAATGATTAGCCGTCTCATGATATTGGAAATCAACATCAGATTGGAATGACCAGCCGTCTCATGATATTGGAAATCAACATCAGACTGGAATGACCAGCTGTCTCATGCTATTGGAAATCAACATCAGACTGGAATGATTAGTCGTCTCATGATATTGGAAATCAACATCAGACTGGAATGATTAGCCGTCTCATGATATTGGAAATCAACATCAGACTGGAATGACCAGCCGTCTCATGCTATTGGAAATCAACATCAGACTTGAAATTATGAGATCTGAACTGCATCCACTGATGATAGTCCATTTCGACAAAATGAACAGGGTCTGTTTTTCTCTTCTTCTTAGGATTCACAAGCTGTAACTCTGAGAGAAAGTTCTGGTTGTCCATTTCTGGACTTTAACCTTCTTCCAGAACTTGAGTTGTGTGTGCACATCCATTTACAGATGGGGCTTATTGGTGTGCCTCTCACAGTTGTGTGTGCACATCCATTTACAGATGGGGCTTATGTGTGTGCCTCTCACAGTTTTGTTAGCACATCCATTTAGAGATGGGGCATATGTGTGTGCCTCTCACAGTTGTGTGTGCACATCCATTTACAGATGAGGCTTATGTGTGTGCCTCTCACAGTTTTGTAAGCACATCCATTTACAAATCTGGCTTATGTGTGTGTCTGTCACAGTTGTGTGTGCACATCCATTTACAGATGGGGCTTATGTGTGTGCCTCTCACAGTTGTGTGTGCACATCTATTTACAGATGGGGTTTATGTGTGTGCCTCTCACAGTTGTGTGTGCACATTCATTTACAGATGGGATTTATGTGTGTGCCTCTCACAGTTGTGTGTGCACATCCATTTACAGATGGGGTTTATGTGTGTGCCTCTCACAGTTGTGTGTGCACATCCATTTACAGATGGGGCTTATGTGTGTGCCTCTCACAGATGTGTGTGCACATCCATTTACAGATGGGGCTTATGTGTGTGCCTCTCACAGTTGTGTGTGCACATCCATTTACAGATGGGGTTTATGTGTGTGCCTCTCTCAGTTGTGTGTGCACATCCATTTACAGATGGGGCTTATGTGTGTGCCTCTCACAGTTGTGTGCGCACATCCATTTACAGATGGGGCTTATGTGTGTGCCTCTCACAGTTGTGTGTGCACATCCATTTACAGATGGGGCTTATGTGTGTTCCTCTCACAGTTGTGTGTGCACATCCATTTACAGATGGGGTTTATGTGTGTGCCTCTCACAGTTTTGTTAGCACATCCATTTACAGATGGGGCTTATGTGTGTGCTTCTCACACTTTTGTTAGCACAACCATTTACAGATGGGGCTTATGTGAGTGCCTCTCACAGTTTTGTTAGCACAACCATTTACAGATGGGGCTTATGTGAGTGCCTCTCACAATTGTGTGTGCACATCCATTTACAGATGGGGCTTATGTGAGTGCCTCTCACAGTTTTGTTAGCACAACCATTTACAGATGGGGCTTATGTGAGTGCCTTTCACAGTTGTGTGTGCACATCCATTTACAGATGGGGCTTATGTGTGTGCCTCTCACAGTTTTGTTAGCACAACCATTTACAGATGGGGCTTATGTGAGTGCCTCTCACAGTTGTGTGTGCACATCCATTTACAGATGGGGCTTATGGGTGTGCTTCTCACAGTTTTGTTAGCACAACCATTTACAGATGGGGCTTATGTGTGTGCCTCTCACAGTTTTGTTAGCACAACCATTTACAGATGGGGCTTATGTGAGTGCCTCTCACAGTTGTGTGTGCACATCCATTTACAGATGGGGCTTATAGGTGTGCCTCTCAGGAAGATGTGCTCTGATTTTTAAGGAAAGTCCCCTAATTAGACACCAAGCTTGTTAGGAAGAGAGTGGGTCTCTTCTTTTATCCCCACAAACAGGGCCATAGAAACCACATGGAATGGTCTGGGTTCAATCCCAAGAGATTTTGACCATTTACTCTAAGGTTAAACTCAAGAGAATTTTGATCTCACCACTTATTGCAGGATCACTCCTCAAGGATTTTGATCTCACCATATACTGTACAGTCAATCCCCAGGGATTTTGATCACATCACATACTCTAGGATCAATCCCCAGGGATTTTGATCTCACCACATACTTTAGGATCAATCCCCAGAGATTTTGATCTAACCACATACTTTAGGATCAATCCCCAGGGATTTTGATCTCACCACATACTCTAGGATCAACCCTTCGGGGTTTGATCTCACCACATACTCTAGGATCAACCCTTTGGGGTTTAGATCTCAGCACATACTCTAGGATCAACCCTTTGGGGTTTAGATCTCACCACATACTCTAGGATCAACCTTTAGGGGTTTTGATCTCACCACATACTCTAGGATCAACCCTTTGGGATTTTGATCTCACCACATACTCTAGGATCAACCCTTTGGAATTTTGATCTCACCATACACTCTAGTGTCAGTACAGACACACATCTCATCAGGGATTTCACAGGGAAGAACAAATAGTCCAGACAGAAGTGGTCACCATATGTCTTAATGCTGGTGCTAGCTGTGGTTGCTGAAGTACATACCCACTGGTCTAAATGACAGACAGACTTTGGTGATCTACATGACATACAGGCTTTAATGGTCTACATGACAGAATTTAGTGGTCTACATGACTGACAGACTTTTCTTGTCTACAAGACAGACAAACTAGGATGATCTACGTGACAGACAGACTTTGGCGTTCTACATGACTGACATACTTTTCTTGTCTACAAGACAGACAGACTTTGATCATCTACTTGACAGACAGACTTTGATGGTCTACATTACTGACAGACTTTGATGGTCTAGTTGACAGACAGACTTTGATGGTCTACTTGCCACTCAGACTTTGATTGTCTACTTGACAGACAGACTTTGATCATCTACTTGACAGACAGACTTTGATGGTCTACATTACTGACAGACTTTGATGGTCTACATGACTGACATACATTTCTTGTCTACAAGACAGACAGACTTTGATCATCTACTTGACAACAGACTTTGATGGTCTACATGATTGACAGACTTTGATGATCTTCATGACTGACAGACTTTTCTTGTCTACAAGACAGACAGACTTTGATGACCTACATGACAGACAGACAAACTTTGATGGTCTACTTGACAGACAGACTTTAATAGTATACTTGACTGACAAACTTTGATGGTCTACTTGACAGACAGACTTTGATGGTCTACTTTGCAGACAGACTTTGATGGTCTACTTGACAGACAGACTTTAATGGTCTACTTGACAGACAGACTTCGATGGTCTAGTTGACAGACAGACTTTGATGGTCTAATTGACAGACAGACTTTAATGGTCTACTTGACAGACAGACTTTGATGGTCTAGTTGACAGACAGACTTTGATGGTCTACATTACTGACAGACTTTGATGGTCTACATGACTGACATACTTTTCTTGTCTACAAGACAGACAAACTTTGATCATCTACTTGACAGACATACTTTGATGGTCTACATGATTGACAGACTTTTCTTGTCTACAAGAAAGACAGACTTTGATGATCCACATGACAGACAGACTTTGAGAATCTACTTGACAGACAGACTTTGATGGTCTACATGACAGACTTTGATGGTCTACATAACAGACTTTGATGGTCTAAATGACTGACAGACTTTGATGGGCTACTTGACAGACAGACTTTGGTAGTCTATATGACTTACAGACTTTGATGATATACTTGACTGACAGACTTTTCTTGTCTACAAGACAGACTATGATGATCTACATGACATACATACTTTAATGGTCTACTTGACAGACATAATTTGATGGTCTACTTGACAGAGAGACTTTTATGGTCTACTTGACAGACATACTTTAATGGTCTACTTGACAGACAGACTTTGATGGTCTACTTGACAGACTTTGATGGTCTGCTTGACAGACAGACTTTTAATACAATCCATGGAATTCTGTTCCTATGACGTCACGTCAATGAATTAAAGCTCTAGCCCTCAACTAA